AGACTCACTATCTTAACTCGAGTCTAATTTTTTTCGTCTTCTTTTCTTCGATTTATTTTTGTGGTCCCGGCGAAATACTATCAACACCCAACATCTAATTTCTGACGTCCCCGTAGGCTCCTCGCCCCACCCCTCCCAAAGGGAAAGTTTATTAATTTTGATTCTCACAAAACAATCACAAGTTTTCTCCGAGTTATTATCAATGCAACAGTTTCAGTGGCGAGGCGTGAATTGCGATGTATCGATTGTTGTGTCATTTAAACCTATGGTAAAGAATCGATTATTAAGGTGTTCGCTGCGAACACCCTGTTTATCGATCCTTTTCCATTTGTTTAAGTGGCATAACAATCGATATATCGCAATTCACACCACGCCACTGAACAGTCTCATTTATTTATTTTTACCGCTCAAATAAGTTAAGAGGGAGAGGGTCAGAAGGACTTTCAGTGCACCCTTTACAACTCAAGTTCCCGTTACGTAGGACCGATAAACGATGCTTAACACCCCCCTCCCCCATTTATTTTAAAACATGTTCGCAAGTGGTCAGCCCGTAAATAACGTCAAATTCCAAGGAAATCGAGGGATTCTGATTTTTTCTAACTCGTTGGGACGTCACGTATAAATTAACGTAAAGCTCCGATTTTCAAGGGGGAAAATTATGATTATTGTGAAAATATTGTTTAAAAAAACCGATTTTCCCGGCAAAAGGGGGCCTTTATCCAAGCGGAACGTAACGTTCAAGGAAGGCGAAGAACTACATGACGAACTTTTGACGATAAAACATTAATTTTGAGGATGGTTAGAAATATATTTCTCGGAAATGTTCAGAAACACTTGATTAAATCGCGCAGAAAATTCTTTAAAACCCCACAAATAAGAGCTTACAAGTTTTCCAGGAAATGTGTATTTAATCGGAGGAAATTTGACAACGTTTGAGTGTTCATACGGAGTTTTTTTCTCAACGCTTCAGCATTATTTTGACGTGTTAGTGCTAAAAGGAACTATGTTGTATGCAAACCCTATGCATACAGGGTGTACCAAAAGTCCGTCCCACCCCTGCTAACTTTTGAACGAATTGAGCTAGGGTAATGAAACTTTGGGAATGTTCCTATCTCAAAGGGGACCATCTTTTGGGGGGGTCAAAATTTTGGTCCCCCCTCAGGGGGGGCGCGGGGGGCCCCCAACTTTTTTTTTTCAAATGGCAACCCCTATCTTGTGATACATCATTCGAAAGAGCATAAAAAACTAAGAATTTTGGCGCAAACCGCAGATCAATATCTTAATTTTTGACCGAGTTATGATAGGTCAAAGGTCAAATTTGACCTATTTTCAAAAAATCATAACTCCGGTTCAAATTATCGTAAAGAAAAAAATAAAACGGGAAAATTTACCAAATTGTGTCCGCTTTTAAGTAAAAATTGCAGAAATCACTTCGCTGTAATTTTAAGGGGGGGCTCGGACCCCCAAATACGTCAATTCAAAGGTCATTCAATTTTCCCGCGAAAAAAGGCAATTTCCCCTAGATTTGCCTCCACATTATCTCAGTAAGGTCAAAATTAGTTCAACATTACGTTGGCAAGTCCCCAAATTTCGGGAAAAGTTTAAAAAAAACGAAATTTAAGGTGATTAAATTTGACCGTTTAAATTTCTTTTTTTTTTAACTTTTCCCGAAATTTGGGGACTTGCCAACGTAATGTTGAACTAATTTTGACCTTACTGAGATAATGTGGAGGCAAATCTAGGGGAAATTGCCTTTTTTCGCGGGAAAATTGAATGACCTTTGAATTGACGTATTTGGGGGTCCGAGCCCCCCCTTAAAATTACAGCGAAGTGATTTCTGCAATTTTTACTTAAAAGCGGACACAATTTGGTAAATTTTCCCGTTTTATTTTTTTCTTTACGATAATTTGAACCGGAGTTATGATTTTTTGAAAATAGGTCAAATTTGACCTTTGACCTATCATAACTCGGTCAAAAATTAAGATATTGATCTGCGGTTTGCGCAAAAATTCTTAGTTTTTTATGCTCTTTCGAATGATGTATCACAAGATAGGGGTTGCCATTTGAAAAAAAAAAGTTGGGGGCCCCGCGCGCCCCCCCTGAGGGGGGACCAAAATTTTGACCCCCCCAAAAGATGGTCCCCTTTGAGATAGGAACATTCCCAAAGTTTCATTACCCTAGCTCAATTCGTTCAAAAGTTAGCAGGGGTGGGACGGACTTTTGGTACACCCTGTATAGTTCCTTTTAGCATAAGCACGTCCATGTTCCGAGCGTAGGACAGTGATATTGGTGATAACGCCTTGATGCAACTATTCGTGCTCTATGGACATCCGTGTTGCGTCCAAATAATTGAAGGCGTTTTAGTGATTCTAATCAACAAAGCATGGCTCGCAGCGGCATGCTGTTACACCTCGCGGTGTGGCGGTGGGAAATAATATTCTCCTCAGTGAAAACTGTGCGAAAGTGTCCTTTCTCGTCCTCTCCCCCAAGCTTTTTTTTAGAGAGTTTCATCTTACCAAACTTTCGTAACGGCGCGCCACACGCTGTTGCTGGCACTTCTTCATAACCTAGAATAACCGGAGCGCCTTCCATTTTTAGCATGCAACACGGATATCCATGGAGCGCGAATAGTTGCATCAAGGCGTTATCACCGATATCATTGTTCCAGGCTCGGATAATCATGCTGTAGCGTTTAAAAAAAGAACGCCGTATGAACATTCGATTGTTGCCAAATTTCCTTCTATTAAGTATGAATTTCTCGGCAAACTCTCTGGCGTATCGCTAATGTTCTCGATCGCGCGATCTTGATCGCGTGGCCACTCGCGTGAGTATTGGGAAGGCTGTAAAAATGTTTAAAAATTAGGGAAGACCCCTCCCCCCCCTTGTTTTTTTTTTTGGGGGGGGGACAGGGAAGCGCATTGTTACTTGTCCTAGATGCCTTTCAAGCGTGCTGCTTTTCGGGAAGGAAACTGTCAAGCAAATTGTTTTATTTGCTGGAAGTCTCTCAAGCGCTCTGCTTGTGGGGAAAGATAATTTAAGCGCGCTGCTTTTAGGGAGGGAAACTTTTAAGCGCGTCGCTTTTGGGGAATGAAACTTCTAAGCGCGTTGCTTTTGGGGAATGAAAATTCTAAGCGCGTTGCTTTTGGGGAAGGAAACCTTCAAGCGCGCTATTTTATATGCTGGAAGTCTTTCAAGCGCGCTATACCCTTGGGGAAGGAAGCTGTTAAGCGCGTTGTTTTATGTAGAGGCGCAACTGTAGCAAAACAGCAAATTTTGGGGAAGGCAAATTATAAATTGGGGAAGGCTAAGAACTTTCTGCACCCATAGAAATACGTGGTTTCGCGCCTTGGCCATTGAAATGCGTCCGTAGGATACGTTTTCGGTTGTGGAGCGTGAAGAATGGCCTCACAACCATAGGGAAGCTCCAAACCATAAGGAGGCCCCACAACCTAGGGCAGAACGGGTTCTGTGGCCTCGCAAGTAGCACTGTCACATGGACGTATTTCTGCCAAACGGAACTATGTGCATTGAGACATGAGCCCTGAGACCCGTAAGAATATGTGCAGAACAGGGCTCACGTCATAATGCACATAGTTCCGTTTGATAGGAATACGTCCGCATAACAGCGTATGAGATCTCGATCGTGCATTCACTTCCCTCGCTCATTTCATTTTATGTGGATGCCAACATTATGAGACCCCACAGATCTAGGTCTCGCGAGGTTTGAGGACCCAGTTTGACCTTCACGAACTCCGCGTCGGCCGTCAGTTAGACGCGAAGAAGTTTTTCGCAATCGAAACCGCTCAATCGCCGCCGAAACTCAAAATTAATCGAACTTATCTAAATGCTAAAAACCTATCCTCATTGTGACACGGGCCCTGCCATGCATGATTCCGTATGGGTCTTAAGGCTCAAGGCACAATGGAGATAGGACTTCTTGATTAAAATAATTATGTGCAATTAATCAACGTGAATCTCTCGCGCCCAGCGCAGCGGGTCGATTATTATTGAAACCATGTCAGCCCGACAAGACAAGACATAGCCCTATCTTAACCATGCAATACATCACATTTCGATATCTTATCGGGCTGCTTTAAACTTTCAATATTCGGCCCGCAGGACCGAATTCGGCAATCGGGTATTTTGGCGGGAGAAAGCTACCCGCTTCGCTTGTCTATCACTCCGCGAAATTCAACGAAGGTCTATGGAGATGTTGCGTGTGTGAGGAATTTGCGATTCGACTGTTGATTCTTGTGTAAAAGTTCGCGAGAAAGACGATGGTGCCGCTTGTTTTCTCTGAAATCAACTCCCAAGCTCAAAAAAAGCTCTCAAGTTGAGGCCAAAATGGAGGGGATATCCCACGCTACCCTGAGAGTCCACCTCTACATCAAGACAAACTCTCCATGCGAAGATAGAGAGCAAATACATTAGCAGAGATGCCGTGTTTTCAGTCTTAGTGTCCCCAAAGAAAGTGGCAGCCCTGTCATTGTATATGCTCCCTATCTTTGCATGGAGAGTTTGTCTTGATGTAGAGGTGGACTCTCAGGGTAGGGTGAGATATCCCCTCCATTTTGGCCTCAACTTGAGAGCTTTTTTTGAGCTTGGAAGTTGATTTTAGAAGAAACCAGTGACACCATCGTGTTTCTCGCGAACTTTTACATGAGAATCATCAGTCAAATCGCAAATTCCTCACTCATGCAACAACCCCATTCGACCCGACTCTCAGTGTCATGTTAAGGAAAAACGCCGTATGAACCCTTGGAGGTTGCCGCTTTTTTTCTCTTCGATAAATTGTGAATTTTTTGGAAAATTCGTTAAATCTTCTCTTCAAAATTTCAGCCGATTTTATTCGAACCTTTTTCCGGTGTTTATAAAAATTTCAAGAAAAAAATCCTCATAACTCTCTCAAGGCAGAACTTCAAAATTCATAAACTCAACCATGTATTTTTCTTTTTTTTCTTCTACTATTCTAATCTAGTTTTAATGTGTGTCTGTTTCAGAGGTGGCACTGTTTCAACAATATCACTCTTCAATGGCAAAGGTGAAAGACTGTCGGAGCTAACTGGAGTTGGTACAAATTACCTGGTGAGGCTAATTACTTCAGAAATATTTGTATTTGCAGAAACTTAGTGTTTTTACTGCCTTTTTTTAAAAATCAGATTATAAAACCAGATTCATTGCTTTGCATGCAAGAAGACTGTGTTTTCAAAATCCCGAGTTGAGATGAAATGGCAAACGTATTGAGAAAATTTGCTATCAAAATGAAATTTTAAGTTGATGAGTGACTAATCCATCTCGCTTTTATAGCGCTTTAATCGTACTGTTCGGGATTGGTAGGGATTTAAAACTCCTCTAAAATTCAAGCACTACTCTTGAGATTAGCTCCAACTTATTGTGATTATTTTTGTGCCTACCATTTATAGAATAGGCAATTTACAACGCACGTTCCGTGTTACTTGTGAGAAGAACACTTTTATCGGTCGTAGTGTTTCAGAATCCTTAATAACGTTTCATTCATTGCGAGCATGATTGGGAATAACCGGAGAAAAGCAAGAATCATCTGGGAACGAAAAACTTTTGGGAAACCCTAGCAAATCTATTCTAGAAACCGGGAATGTCCTCTACTGGTTTGAGACCATTTCGTTTTCAAATTTTGCAGAAATTTTAAGGACCTATTGTTAATGAGGTTTATATTATTGCTCCTGAGACGTCATTATTGACCTCTTGAATGACATATTTGAATCTTCAAACCATCATAATAGTAGAGGAGCTTTCATTGACCAGGGTATGTGGACATCAGGAAAGTTTTTGAAATTAAAATTTGATTGTGCACTAAAGGATTGTCTGGAAGATGGAAAAAAAATCTATATTCATATCTGAAACTTCGAAGAGTTGTGCAGTTTTCCCACAGCAAAAACCTTGGTATCTCATCAGGGAATCAGCTCCTGAAAATCAGGCCAAATCAGGGGAAAATCTGGGAATGTGCCCAGTCGTAAATTCTGGATACTATGATTGTAAGGAAAATGATGCATGCATTTCATCGAATTTTTTTTTCCGAATACTTTTTATGATTCTGCAATGTTTTATCGAAACAATTCTGGGAAAATCGCCAATTAGAGCCCTCTCTAAAACACGAATCAGCGACAGAGGTTCTGATTAACCTCATTGGAGAAGCGCCCTCTATGCTCCTCAACAAAGATAGTGGTAATTATATCAGTGTGCTGCTCGTTTATTGTAAAAAAGAAACAATGTTCTATTTTGTCCATGTTTCTTTTTTCAGACCCTAGGAATGGATGTTGTACACGATAGGATAAATGCTCTAGTGCAAGAAGCAAAAAAACTTGCCAATTTACCGGAAGATCTAACTTTAACAGCTTTAGTAAGTTTTATTGTATGTTATTTTTAGATGAGATAATCATGTACCCAAAAATACAAAATTCTGTGTATGGATACGTGAATTTTTCCTGATTTTCTCCAGTTTTAATACTGGCTTTTTACTTTGTTTTTTGCTTTTACTTTCTAATCTTTGAATATACTCAATTCCCTTTTTCCTGCTAACGTCTCCTACAATTTTGAAGTTTTTGTCCTACTGCGTAAACCTGATTTTATCGTTTCCTCTAGGGGTAGGCAAAGTATCGTTGTTTTTTTCTTATTGAATGAGGCCAAACGATGCATTTACCATCTTTTTTCTATGAACTAATCTACAGAGCTGTTCATTGAATGCCTACCGCCCAAGGAGGATGAGGAGGGGGAAGGCTTGGTTGAATTATCAGGCTACCTATGTACTATCTTGAGTAATGCAACCAAACTACTATCAAAAGGTAGAAGTAACTAACCATTCAAAGTCATTAAAACATAATAGAAAAATCAAGTAAGAGCCGTTAAAATTTTAACAGCTTGCAAAAAAACAAAAGGGAGGCAACTTGCTTGTGCCAAAAGATTATGAAAAAATCTCAATAAATTTTGCAGGGATCCAGCCATGGCTCTATAAAATTAGACATATGAAAAGTTTTTCAACTTCAGTTTAAATACCCTTTTATCATATTCTTATGTTTTTCAAAAATGTAATAATGGTTTTTTTAATTTTTGTAGGGTTTAAGTTTAAGTGGTTGTGAACACGATGAAGCTAACAAAAAGTTTGCAGTGAAACTGCGGGAGAAATATCCTGACTTATCTGAAGAATACTACGTTTGTAGTGATACTGTTGGGCCAATCGCTGTTGCTCATAAAAATGGTAACGTAATTATTTTCGTCTTCCACATTACTTTCAGACAGAAATTGAGGGAGAGGATTCATAAGCAATTTAAGTTGGAATTGTTAAATTTAAAATTTCCTTGTAGAAAGATGATTAACTATTTTTTTTTTATTTCTCAACAAATGGTACAGATATTTTACCTGACGCTTATTTTAACAAATTCTCTATTTTCCTCTTTACTTAACTTTCAGGAAAATTCTAAAATGAATCTAGTAATCAAGTCCAGAATATTTTGGTTATATATCTTGCAATGAAAGTGATGATTTAGGAAGTAGCCTAATTTTACAAATACCTTAATTACCAACTTGGTACTTAATGGTACGTAATGCTACTTAAAGCACCCTTTTTTGGCTCCGCTGTTACAAATATCTCAGAAAATTAATTTAGCGAAACTTTAAGTTTTAGTAGGAAATGGAGTATTAAGAGGAAATTAATGATTGAATGGCAGAAGCAGTTAGGTGTAAAATTTAGAAGTGCATGGATTTTTACCATCTTAGATTTTCATTTTGAAAATTTGAAGTATCTGTAAGACTGGATTTTTAAGAGGTACCTACCTTTAAACCTCCGTGAGTGTTCTGTATGTGCATTGAAATCCCTTTATTTAAGGCATTGTCTTGATTACTTCTCAAAGAATTACTTGGCATTATGACCTAAGCTCTTTAATGTTTTCACTTTTTTTAAATTTATTTTTAAGTTATTCTTTAGGATGGAACGGATTGCATTTAGTATAAGGGAACCAATGCAATTAATGTATTTTCAAAATTGTGGAGCTTCCTCTTTGCACTAAAAAAACTAAACATATCAATGATGAAACTCACAAACCACATATCTCGGTCTGCAACGTTGCAGATTTCCTAACATACATAAAAAACATGTGGTGTTTATTCATGTTAACACAACATGTTTAACAAGGTGTTTATTCATTAAATGGAAAACTACTCAGCGTCAACTCCCGAAACTTGCCGTGATTTTTCTTCTCTGTCTGAAGAACATTCTGTGTAAATTTCAAGTAATCAATTCAAGTTGTTCCCCTCGAAAAAAACAAAATAGGAGTGCAAATTTTAATTATAAAATATGAACTGTTTGCTATGCTAGGTATTTTCTGTGGTTAAGATGAAGTTGCCCGATTCTTACAACACTAAATCACATAGGTTCCCCTCTGCTATATGCTATCCAAATGATTATACAAAGAAATGTGTCTACCAGTGAAAATTGTGAAGTAATTATCATTTCGATTTTGTGTTTTGATTTTCACAGGAGGAGGTGTGATAATCTCTGGCACCGGTTCAAACACATTACTTGTAAACCCTGATGGCTCTGAAGTCCGATGTGGAGGCTGGGGTAGTCTACTTGGAGATGAAGGCAGTGGTAAGTGGATTGAACTATTTGATAAAGTTCCTTCTTTGGTTTTGATAATACTCAGGAACTTCTTTGTAGTATCTCCGGTTATGTACGTCGAGTCTCAATGTCTATAGGGTTCTAAGAAGAATAATTGGACTACATTTTGCAATGAGGAACTACAACTTCTGGTTCAATTTAGAAACAATGGATGTACCATCAGTACTTTTATGCACATAAGTGTTTTTATGGATGAGCCAGAAATTGTAGTTCCTAATTTCGGAGTGCTTCACCAAAAGCATACCACTGATTGTTAGAGTTAACCAAAACAGTCTCATCTACAATTCAGTGTTTCAAAATTTCATCTCCTATTTCAATTTTTGAGAAGGAAATTAACCAACATTTTTGCCTAAAATTTTGTGGAAATAGCTTTCCTATGAGCAAGAAAAATCACAACAATTTTCAAATGGGGATGGTGGTGATTTCTCTTCAAAAAATCAAATAGCAGATGAGATTTTGGAACATTGCAATGTACCTGGGAATGTTTACCTTAAATCTATCCAAATCATAGGTTTTTTTTTTTTTAAAGAGTGAATAATGGTTTCACTGTCTCTACCCCCCCCCCCTTTTTTTTTGGTGCTGCAGTTATTCATGGTATAATTCATCAATGGATGAAATTTAAATGGATAATTTCTGTGCACAGTTTTGTGAGTCCAGCATATTTGTGGTACAGAAGCTTATCAAATTGAAACAAGTCATCTGTAGATTTGGTTTTTTTAAACATGCAAATATCTAGTCAAAGCGTAAATCTCTGGCTCAAAAACTTAAATAGAATTGATTGAGCTATGGGAAGCGGTGGTTCAGGTTCTTTTGTTACTGATCAGGCGTTTTGTATCAATTTATTTTTATGAAGCCCTTCAGTATCAGAGGATCATTGTGTCAAGTAAAAACAATGCAATGGCAGTGTTGCTTTTCGTCTTATCCGTATCTTTCTTCAAAAAAAACTTTAGGAAGCCGACCTCAGTTCTGTTTTGGATCAGAGCCGAGCACTTAATGAGCTTTATTTGTCCTCAACAATTATGTTCATAATTAGGAGAGGTTTCTCCCTCTCTTCCTCTTTTCTCATGCTTATTTTTTTTTCATCTGATTTCTCTCTTTCTTTAATTTCAAGGTCGTATTTGTTGTGATCTTGTTGTAAACTCTCAAAAGGAGATCTCTAGTGGCATTGACTGTCAAATTTTGACTTTAAAAAAATTGTAAAAAAAATTGTCAAATTATACAAGTTGGAAAACCCTCTTTGGTTTTTTAAAGTAAAATTGATGCCAAATTTATGGTTAAAAAAAGATCATGAGTGAAAATTGGCATTAAAATTTTGGTAAATTCTCAAAATTATAGAATTTTCAAGACCAGTTTTAGTCGAAATTATTAGCATCTCATTTTTTTTCAAAAACTGCATCCATGCGCCTTGTCCTTTAAGCCCCTCAATTGGACTGCGGTATGCAAAAAAGAGCTAGTCTGCCATGCCAGGGAAGAACCTGGTTTGAACCTTCAGACGTTACCAAATCGCCTTCGATAAAACACAAATTTTCCAAGAAGGTAGTGAAAATTTTTACTCCAATTTTCCAGATAATTTTGAATGCAATTTAATCTACAATATTCGAAAATTTCAAGGAAATTTTTTTTAACTTTTCTCCAAAATGAACTTTTTATCATAGGAACTTTGGCAACGTTCATCATACGGCGTTCTTTCTATGCACGGCAGTACTGCCTCAGGCTCATTTTATGAACAATGTATGTGCTTTTAGTTTCCCTATGCAGGTAGGGACTTAATTGATCAGCCAAAAATAGTACCATTAAAGCTTGTGAAACTAAGCTTAGGACGAAAATCAGCTTAGTTGAAATTTTCTTCGGCCCCTTAACTCCATAAGAACTACTGTGAAAAAATACGACTAAGCCGAATTGTTTAAATCTAGTGCAGCTCTAAAGCCTCTCGAGTCGAAGAAAAATTGTGTACTACTTTAATTTACTTGACTGTAGATTTAGCGAGAGTATTTTCTATGTAACTCTGGTCCATTTTACACACTTCATATAAATTTTGACTAAAATCCTCCCATAAATAATTTGTAGCCTGTTTTATATGCATCCTCTGCCAACTAAAATTACAAGGTTTTCTCTCTCTTTTTCCGCAGCATACTGGATATCACACCAAGCTATTAAAATTTGTTTTGATGATCTGGATAATTTTAAAACACCCCCTATGGGATACAGTACAGACTACATTTGGTCAGCTGCTAAATCATATTTCAATGCAGAAAGTGTGTAAGTATATATTTTTTAACCCAAACAGTTGAATCTAACTCAAGTCAAAAATTCACCCTCCTTCGAAAATGCATCCTTCTGATTATTTTGAAGGAATGTTCTTGTACAGATTCATACCTCACGTAAAACTAATTTATGAATTTAGAATTTCTAGTTCCTGATAGATCATTAGAGACCCAGTTTGCTAGATGGTTCAAAAATGGCCTGTGCCATTGATGATAATCAAGTCCCATCAATTTGATGTTCTAACGTTAATTGATAAAGCAAAATCTAAGAGAGCCTTTAAAAAAGTTTCAAACTCTGAAACGAAATTTCTTTCTAAGTTTTCTGGTGCAATTTCTCCCCTGCATTTACTTACTCATTTTTGAACGATTAAGATATCTCATAATTACTTTCTTGTTTAGCTTGAAGTTGGAAGATGTGTCAGTTAAAAAAAAAAAAAAAAAAATTGTATACAAATTGATATTCAATCATTTATAGTTCTGCTTTTCCAACCTTACAGTTTTTTTTATGCTTTCAGGTTTGAATTTCTACCAATTTTTTATGAAAATTATTGCAAGGCTCGAATTGCAAGTTTCTGTAGAGTTATTTCTCAAGGTGCAAATGAAGGAGATCCTCTATGTAAATGGTTATTCCATCAAGCAGGGCGTGATCTAGCGCGATTTATTCAATCAGTCGCGGAAGGAGCAAGCGAGGTATTACTTTTTCATTATTCATTAAAAGTAAGAGCCGGGTTTTCTTTTTGTATCCGCGGATCTCCAAGAATTACATTTGTTAGTTGAAAAGTAAACAATCCTAAGGAAACTTTCCTCTTAAGGTGAATCCAGGCTTGGAACTTCGCGATTTGGCCACCACATCGCGCTGCTCAGAATAGCCGTATATATTTGTGAGAATAATAAAAACCGTAATACTTATTCAAGATTGGGGATCCAGGGGATATAGCAACATACTTGAGGAACACTCAGTAAAAAAATCTTCCCAAAATTTCCGAAATTAAAGTTGTAACTACGACAGCAAGTAATTCTCATTGCGGCAATGGGAGAGAGAGAGACAGAACATGAGGGATTCGGTTGCGCGCTCGGCCGCCGTGGCTGAGCTGGAAGTTTCAGCCGTACTTTCTCTGCGCTTGTAATTCTAATTGCCAATATTTTTGGCTCAAAAAATCAAGCAAAAAATAATCTATATCTTGTGGATTTGCTTTTTGTAATTTGAACAATATTATTTCAGTAATCGTTGAAGGAAAGTGAAATTCTCAGTGGTGACTGGTGGCGCTACCTCTTATCTTGAATTATCCCTAATCGAACCCTGGATTCACCTTAATCCATTAATTAATTTTGGCTAAATCATGCAAAAATCAGTAACTTAGAACAATTCAAAATAATGCTAATAATGATCATTCTCTGGGGTTGAAAATTAATCTATTAAACATTCGTTGTAATTTTTTTAAGGAAACAAAAAACAAGTCTAGTTATGATGTTTTTCTATTGTTAATTTATCGCTTTCAAAATCATAAAAATCAAGAAAGGTGCAAATATTAGATAGGTATGAAGTTGATGAGAGCATGTTATACAGGAGTTTAAACCACTACACAAGTCGTTAAATTCGTACAAATGTACAAGAAATCTTAAAAAAACAAACTTACTTGCATAAAATTGTAATTTTGAAACGGACGCGTTTCAGAGGTATCCATTTCAAAATTACAATTTTATGCAAGTGAGTGCCTTTAAGTTTGTTTTTTAAAAGTTTTTTTAAAGATTTCTTGTAAATTTATTAAAAATTTTTAAATTTTTACCAGGTATGTCAATATCTAACACAGCCCTTGCCTCAAATCTTTAGATAATCATGGTATTGCTTCATAAAAATTACTAAATAAGCTCATTTACCACCATTTTTCTCCTATTTATTCTCATATGAATTGGATTTTTGTTTCTTAAGCCTAAAATTTCTCGATGTATTTTTTCAGGAACTTCTGAAAGCAGAGGGTGGACTGCCAATTGTGTGTGTAGGATCTGTTTGGAAGAGTTGGAACTTACTGAAAGACGGTTTTGTTGAGCAGCTCGCCAAAATCGACCGATTTAAAGTTGAAGAACTGTCTTTACTTAAATTAACTGTCAGCGTGTCGATTGGAGCAACTTACTTGGCTGCTAAAGCTATTAATTTCAACTTACCTCGGGACTACACACAAAACTATGAAGTCTTCTTCCACTATAAACGCCCGAACTAAGTTTTCAGGGGCTTAGCCCAGGTAGCAAGCTTGATTTTGCAAGCCAAGTATGTCCTTAATTAAAGTAATTTGTGATGGTGGCATTTTTGCCTTTATAATAAATTGTGATTCATTTTTAAAGTGCTTTTAGCGCCATCAGTAATTTTCAGGTATTTGCATTTATCTCGTACTTTTTCAGGAACTTGTGTTGAGTTTAATGCTGAGGGAGTTACCCCTCATTGAACAAAATTTAAATTATTTTTATAAGAAAAGATATTTCAAACTTCTAACACTTCTTTACCAAATGATCAAAGCTTTTAGTCAAACTGCATAACCTTAAAAAGTTTAAGTTGCAGCAAGTACATCATCAAATATTTTTTAATAATAATTTCAATGGCAGAAGGATTTGTGTATGTATCACAGTTAAATTTTTTATTTAAAAATAAAACTCGAAAAAAATGAAAGATTTTTTGAAACCAGCACAAAGACTCCAATTTGGCAAAAAAAAATTTTCTGAAAAAAATTTTGATTTTTAGTTTTAAGTTCTTAAAAGCTCAAAAGGACCAAGGTTAAAGTGAAATTTTATCCATACAAAATCTCGAGATATGAAGTGTATGAAGTTTTCTACCTGCGAGGAATACCAGAATCCAATGAAAATAAGTTTATGCATTTTTAGACTGTGACAAAAGAATGAAAGCATTGAAAGTAAATACAAGAATCAAGACGGCGAATCTTCTGTCTTAGTCTAAAACTGCATAAACTTATTTGGCGTAGACTCTAAGCCTACCAAATGCGGTTGTTGCTCAGTATTCAGCCCAAATTTCCTCAATGTCTATCATATATTTTCACATGTCTTTGAACAATCTATCAGAAGTTTATCAACATCTGGTGCCATAACTGCCATATAGTCTTTATAATTTATTAACAAAAAACTATGCAGTCGTAAGTTCCTTCAAATTTTTCTTAAGTTCTGTGAATTCTGCTAAAAACGTGAAGTTTTCCTTCATGCCCTACTTTATCGAATTCTTGTAGTTTTGTGCCAACGATAATGAGATGGAACCGTACATATCACTTTTTGGTCATTCTCTCTCGTGTTGTTACTGATGATTTTTCCCATGATTGTAATGAGTATTTCCTAGCCTTGTAGGAAATGCTTGCATGCTCACAATTAGGTACAAATTAGGTACATACCATCTGATTGAGCATGACTGAAGAAACATTTCAAAGTCTCAATTAAACTGACTGAGTAATGGGTCACGAACAGTAGTCATTTTACCATCATTAGTTTTGTTATTTCTTTTAGTCTAAGATTACCTAATTTTCTGCCAATTTTTCGAATAAAAATTGACGTAATGAACTAATCGACTTTATAATACGGATTGAAAATCCCAGTCGAGAATCATCAACCAGGACAAATCTGTCTTCAGAGAGATCCTGAAGAAACTTCAATTCGATGGTGAAACTGCAGAAATGTGTACCCTGGTCGCGGTGTTTCAAAATCTCCACTCCTATTTGATTTTGCAAAGGAAGACCGAACCATCATGGCTTGAAATTTTCTCACAACAATCTTCTCACAGAGAAGACAACTCACCGAAATTTTCAAGGAATGATGTTTAGTAGTTTTCCATGTGGAAAATAAAGTATAACAAGATGTATGCAATGTCGTAAATTGAGGTATGCATTCCTGCAGTTTCATCATCGAAATAGTCCAATACATTGCTTTGGCACATTTGTTCTTTGAGACGACCTTTGCCCCATATGTGTTTTACAAAACTACCTGTAGTATGCATTGCTATAGTAGGTATGCTTTTTGAAAAACTCTCGAGGACAGATGCCTTTGGCTCATTCAATCCAATTTATGTTCTTTTATTTGACTCAAAGAAATGGTTACCAAAATGATCCTATCTTATTTTCGAGCATACTTGCATTTCTCCCGAGGCTGCAGGGTATAAATTTCAGTTTGTGCCCTGGGATTATATCTTTTATTTGTGTCACTGTAAGTCATATTCAATTTCTCATAATTCGCAACGAAGGGATTGATTTACTTGTGTGAAATCTTCTCAAGACTATACCTGATAAAACTATGTGAACAATGAACCGTTTTTTGTCCTTTTTTTTTCTTCATGGAAGAGTTCAAGCATCTAAAACTTACAAGCCCTGGAAATCATGACAACTAAAGAAGGCTATTATCAAAGAGTTTTCAGCGCTGGGGCCTCTTTGTAAATACATTAACGGTTCAATTGAAAATTTCTTGAATTATTAGTAAACATAGCTCATTTTTTACCAGCATCACAGTCTAGTTTAGATAAAAATTAATTCATGAGCAGAAAATGTACTTTAGAAGATCGATATGAAGATCATGGCGCTTTTTGTCTTACTTTAAAGTTAAAGTGGATATTGAGCCTGTTACGTGAACATTGTGTATTGCTTTGATTAGATTTTTGTTTTCTGCTCTCGCTTTTATCAAATTTTTGCCTTGTGTTTCTATAATTACAAGATTTAAGAGCTTACTTACCAAATTTGAGAAAGAGAAATGTAATAAAAAGAAGGTAAGAATCTTTTGAGAGAAAATGTGGTTTTAACTGTATGCTCTTGCCTTATTGAATTTTTCGATTTAAGTTGGTAAGTTCTTGAGTCTTACAACCATAGGAACATACCGTCTCAAAACTCTACAAAAGTGAAAGTTAGCTGAACTCTAATTGAATCAATCACTTTTTTTACTGTTATTTTTAGCCATGAAATTATGTTAATGTTTGAAAACTGGTGTACAAACATCCAAGAGCGCATTTTTGTATTGAAACAATTTGATGAATAGAAAATCTTTTTCCATATGTATTTTAAAGAGCAAACTTTAGCAATGTTTCCTAGTATTCGCTTAGAATTCTCATTTACCTTAAACTTATTTTCAGAACAAGTCGTGAAACATTTGAATATCCTGACATGTTTGTATTTTATTATTTTATTTTATGAATGTTATTTCTCAAAGAAACAAAATTCCAATTTAGTAGGTTTCAACTGTAAACTCTAGGTAATTTTTGCTTATTGGTGATAGCTCCACATTCTGTAATTGCTCCATTAGTTGGCATATAGATGTGGGAAAAGCTCCATTTAAAAAACTGTTCGTAACAAAGTTTCTTCGAACAAATTTTAACCCCAACCCTTTTTTACACTTACAAAATTCTGTTCAGCCACTCTCTCATTGTATAGTTGCAGAATTAAAATTGAAAATCACAAAATAAGAAGAAAAGCCGGTTTCAGAAAATGTTTAGCCAACCTCCTCAGAATTCATGATTGTTAAATTTTTTTTCACAAGTTTTAAAGGGTTGGATGGTAAAACTTCCTTTCTGTTGTATCTTTGCCATCAAATGTGTTGTTATCGTATGTTTTATGTATTTTATTTGTTATCCCTGTGAGAGGAAAATAAAAAGTGTTATTTATTTTATCAGTTCTGCTTTAGTTTTTTTTGTTAAGTAATATCAAGTCATTCATAAAAAGTCAGTTGTGATCTGTCAATTTCAGGAAACACGATCATCTTTAAAAAAAAGATATCTCCGCAGCAATTTTTCAAAATCCTTGATTATGTTTCATGTTTTAAAAGAAAACTAGCCCAAATAACTCGTTAAAATTCTCGGTGTATGTTGCTGAAAGAGACATAAAAACCCATTGAAAATTTCAAACAAAACCTATGGTTAGTTTTTTTTTCTTTTATTTTTAATCTCACTCTTGGCATATGAGACATGTACATACATGGCTATAATACAAGTTGCACGCTGGATAGTTTCTTGATAATAGTAGATACATGATGCCAATAGTAGATACAAGACTAGAGGTTGATATTTCCTCCTCAGAGTACAGGGTATTTCCTGCTAAATAGTTTTTGTGAAAATAAAGTATGAGCGTAGATCGGCAACATTGTCAGAGGCACGTATTTTATTCTTCATCCATCAATATTCAAGTAGAATATGATTACAAGAGACCAGACTTTACTCTCTGTCCCCCTATTAGTACTAATTTTAACAAAAAATTACTATCTAGAAAAGGAAATCTAGTCTTGTTGAAAAGTAGAGTGCCTGGTAGATGACAAGATCAGGGGCATCATTTTGGAAGGCAAGGAGGGAATTGGGACCCTCCTGCCACCTAGATTTTGCTGATATGATAACCATGGAAAAAATTTGTAGATTAGGATGAGTGTTCAGTGTTCATCCAACGAGAATATTTTTCAATTCAAAATAAGTCCTTTCCTTGCAATTTTTCAACGTACCTAGACATAGGCTTTATTTGAATGGATTATTCTCCGATCGATGAATCTGTTTTTTTCATACTTATCATTCCAAATGGCGAAAAGTCTTCTCTATGATGTAAGTTTGACATTGTGACACAGAATCAGATATTAGGCTCTATTCTTGCTAATTTTTTAAAGTAATGCCTATGCCCAATGCAAAATAACTTGTTCACTTCCTTCTCTTGCTATAACTTGAAAAACTTTCTCAATCGAGAACATCTTGAAAATTCTCTATTTGCACATTCATTTCGAAATCCATACAAAATAAATAACCTCCTCGGCTTTTGCTAGACTCAGGTGGCTATATTTTCATTTTAGTGAACAAATCGTCTGAGGTTAGGCTAGGCACGGAGGAGCATGATTCTCGTAAAAACATTCTTGGAAGAATTTGTAAAGTTTCGGCAAAGAAACTCGTTATTGTCTCAAAATAATACACGTTTAAGCATTTTTTAAATTTATTGTTTCTTACTAGAGAAATGAATTTTTTTAAGCCCATTATCTCTATGCCATGGTTAATTCAAAATTTTTCTTTCTTATTTTGCCAGACTGATAGGTAGTGAGAATTTCACCATAGAGCTGAACATATTTAAAGTTTTTACAAACAATCACCGTACCACCAAAAATAATGGGATGTATAAGAGGTGAAAAGTAATAATTCAGCTCATAGTTAACGCAAGTTATGACGCTGAATCCCCTTTGAAGCTGTTTGCCCCTCCTGCCCTCAGCAGCGCACCCAACACAGTTGCCCGCTAATTTAAATTTTCGGTAGTTTGGCCGTGTTTGGCGCCTTCATTTTCTTAACATCGGAATTTGACAATGAACTGGTCCTTCAATGAATTCCGAACAAGGAATAACCTAAAAATTTGTAGCTTGTTATTGTTTTGGTTTTGCTTTGCTCAAGTATCGGCATTTTCAATTGCATTTTGCGATTTGGAACTGTTTTCTCTTCTCTTTCGTGTTGTGTTTTATTCGCATTCGAACGTCATATATTCTAGGAGGTTAAATTTTTAAGGCCTATCCTCCTTTCAATTTCTTATTTCTACATGCTGATCGTTTCTCCGCCGAATCTGAGTCGATGAGCTCTATGATGGCATTGCGGTATTCTCTCTGATACAATGCAAGAGGCTGTGAATTTACCCTCTATCTCTCAGTAAAAAAGTGCCCCATGACTCTAACTAATTTCATCGAGGAAGATCGTTTCACTATGTAATATCAAACCCTCATCTGTAGCGTCCACCAGAGAAGGTAATCGCCGAACGGAATCAACGTTTCTGCAGTGCTGTGGGTGTTATTGGTAAGTTTACCAAATATTGGTCTCGGTCGTATAGCACGATTTTTAAAGTGCCAATGAGCATTTGAGGGATCACTTTGAGTGATTTATTCCAGCTTACTTGAAGCTTAGTTAGTTTACAGCTTAGTTGAAAGCAGTGAAGTGAAAAAGTATAGTTAATCAAATCGATCAAATTCAAGTATGTCGCTAAGCAGAAGGAGTATACCAAGACCTAACTATTAATTCCTGAAGTCTTAGATCCCTGAGCCTACACTTTTATCAGATTTGTGGTCAAAGTTGAAACTCATCATTTTGGTTCTCTTTTATCGCGTTACTTAGAACTGGGGAAAGAAAAGAAGAGACAATCGATGGCGTAAGTCGGCAATCACACAACTCGATTTGCAAAGTTGCAGACTTCCTGTCATACTTTATTTTTTAGACGGAAAACTACTTAACGGCAATTCTTTAATACTGCCATGATTTTTCTTCTCTGTGCGGAGAAAATTCTGCAAAAACTTCATGGAATGATGTCAATTTATTCTCCTTTAAAGAAATACCACAGAGGTGGAGATTTTCAGACGCTGCTAACGAGTTATGTGATTGCCGACTTACACCGGCGAAATGTCACATCTAAAAATTGCACCATTCAACAGATATTTACATGCTAACCAATTGGCTAACAGATGATTGATGCATCCAGACTGATGTGACTTCTGTCTCTTCTTTTTCTTTCCCCAGTTCTAGTGAAAGAATCCGCTCTAATCTGTGAAGCTTTTAAGCATTCAAAAAAAATCCTTATTTGCTTTACTGATAAAAGTCTGTAGTTTTACCTTTTTTAGGTATATAAGTTGAAAGATAGCTCTAGCTGTTCAGTTGCTAATGTTGTTAATGTCATTCTATGATTTCAGTGATTTCCCAGTGGAACTTCAATAAAGTTTGCTTACTTACAAGGCATTCCGCATTGTATATTTTTTATTTGTTTGGGCATTGTTTTATTTTCCCCCCAGATACTTTAATAATATTTTCTTATTTGATGGTATTCGTCAAATAAACTCCAATTCAAAATTATTTAGTGTTCTGAAATATGAGAATTTGAAAGTGATCATTACAATCAGATGAATTTTTCATGAAATTTGGTGGTGTCATATTTCCGGAAGCTTCACTTATGAAACTATTTGGAGACTCTAGAATTCTCATGATAAACAATTGATTTTGGTTGCAGACAAGTCACAATGAGCACGGACGTTCGGGACATTTTGGAACTGGAGAAGGCTGCACCAGAAATCACAAAAGAATCAATATTAGGGCCGCAAGATGCAAAGAAGAAAAAATTCTCGCATGTCTTAACACCCAGGTCTTCTCGCAGGCCGGAGGGAATGGCCAGAGAAGTCTTCGCTCTTTTGTACAATGATAACAAAGATGCGCCTCCTCTATTACCCACTGACACAGGTCAGGGTTACAAGCAGACAAAAGCAAAGCTTGGAATGCGGAAAGTACGTCCCTGGGAATGGACGCCCTTCACAAATCCGGCTAGAACTGATGGAGCAGTTTTTCATCATTGGCGGCGAGTGGCTGATGAAGGCAAAGAATACCCGTTTGCAAAATTTAATAAGGTATTGAAAATAGTTGAACCTTCTATATTAGTTTGTCCATTGAATATCCAATTTACATTTGTCCGTGAGACCTGGAAGCTCCACTAAACTGGTGAGATTTGGATGCCCAGTTGAACTGAAAACACAAAAGAATAGTTCCACTGCTCTCATTGAAATCAATATGGGCTAGTGGTGCATACAATGATAATTGCAACTGGAAAAGTAAAATAAATAAATGTTGCCTTTCTCAAGACCTTTCTGTATCTTTTTTATCCCATTTAATTTTGTCAATCATACCACTTTATTTAAGTTTAGGAAAAATTTGATTCGTAAATAGGTAAAAGTCAGGCAGAATATTAAATATATGAATAAATGTATGCTTTTTTATCCTCACAAGGTATAGCTTTAGAATTGCCTGGTTTGGCCTTTTTGAAAGCTGATTAAAAAAAGATTGACCTGAAAAAGTCATTAACCAATCCCCCCTCCTAGAACCGTCTGTAATGACAGTTTGCCATTCCATGAATAACACTATTAACATTATTTATTTAATAACTTATGTGGAAAATAAAGTGGCTGAGTTCAAGTATAATTCTTGAGAACTCCTCCCTAACTCTTCATATGATATTCATCATTATCTCAATGGACCACTAGATAAGGTACGAATTTCAGCATTCTGATACATGTTTCTTAACCAAAATTTTACACAAAACACGATGCACACAACGAAAATTACCAAAATTAACTCCTTACGAAGATATTTAATGATTCTTGATGCGTGAATTCAAACCACCCGCTCACAAAAACTCAATGCTCTACATGATTCACATCGCGCGCTAAACGTTATCATGACAGTTTCTGCGTTATAAAAATCTGGCAACCTCAATCTTGACGCTTTGGCTCAGCTACAGCAAATTACTCATAGTTTGAAAAATACATGGTGGGAAATAAACATTGCTCGACTGAGAAGATTGCTGAAACCGTTGTAGTGCGCCATTTGACTCACGTAGAGCTTTGAGTTTCTTGTGAGCGGGCAGTTTAAATTCCTCGTAACCAATGTGAAATGAAAACGTTAATATCTTCGTTAGGAGTTGGTTTCAGTAATTTTCGTTGTGTGAATCGTTTTCTACGTGAAATTCTGGTTAAGAAACATGTATCAGATCGCTTAAATTCGTACCTTGTCTAGTGGTCCATTAAACATTTTCAAGAGTCAGTTCACCCCTCTTTTTTACTTCCTTGCTCCCCTTGTTTTTGTTTAGTGGCAAAGTGCTTCATTTGTCAACTGAAAAATTATGATGGATTTTATCTGTTTTTTTCTTTTTCTTTTTTTTTTTTAGAAAGTTCCAATTCCTACATACACTGATGCTGAGTATGCACAGCATCTTCAGTCAGACTGGTGGACAAAAGCAGAAACAGATCACCTATTCAGTCTATGCCGACAGTTTGATCTCAGATTTATAGTAATACAAGATAGATACGACGAGAAAAAGTTCCAAAAACGTTCAGTCGAAGATTTAAAGGAACGTTATTATTCTATTTGCTCAATTTTACACAAGGTAAGTTTGTATTAGTACGCATAAAACAGTTATTCTCTTCTTGGTATGGATCTCAAAGCACACTCCAATATAGTTGTAAACTTTCGCTGCAATGGTAACATCATCCTTTTGTAGTATTAGTGTCACAGTTTTATCAAGAATACTGCTCCAATCATATTGCTACAATTATCTGAACTATTGTGGTAGTTGGGTGTTCGGATAATGGAAAATGAAAAATATTCATGATTTAAATCAATATCCAGCTCCAGCATTTAGCTTCAAGACGCATTAATTTTGCGAGGCTCAGTTATATGTGCTCTTAGTCTATGATCCGTCAATAATACTCCTGCTGAAATGTGACATTTGCAGGAACATACAAGTTGGATATGAAGGGATGCATATGAGGATCTGTTCATAAAATATGTAATGGTGGGGGGGGGGATGACGCCAGTGACCCATAGATGCACAAAAGAATCAAATTCATGTTGTAAAGGAAAGGCCAAGAATCTTTTAAATAATTTCAACCCCTTGTGTTTGTTTTCTGCTGTTAGGTAAAAAAAATTCCATGTGAGCTACAGCAAGTATCTAAAACCTCCGAATTCTCAGTTCAGGGTCAAAAGCTAGAAAAAAGATAATGATATATACCTTACTAAAATATTTTCTCCCTTTTGAAAAGTTTGCCGAATTAGAATTTCAGAGCAAGTCTTGTTTCATAGTTTCAGTCTTTTTTTTAAAACAAATTTTATTTAAAAATAACGTAATTACTACAAGAAAATGTCTTGCATCAATCTACATGAATTAAATTACAGTAAATGAAATTAAATAATGACAAAAAGTAAGGTTAGAATAATAATACAATTATTATTTAAAAGAACTGGAATTACAAAATTCTTGGTTTTTTTTTTTTTAAGTTAAATAAATAAATTTATTAGTCTAATAAATTTCAGTCTGATTTTAGATTTTATTTTTGGAATGTTCATTTTTTAGGTGAGAAAACTTCCAGGTGCAGAACCTAAAGCTTTCGACGCCGACCATGAAAAGAGACGCAAAGAACAATTAGCACGATTATACAATCGCACACCTGAGCAGGTACTTTATTTGAAGTCTTGTTAGCTCTCCTCCTTCTGTTTCTGCTCTTTATGTACCTTTAATCGTAAGATCTTTGTCAGATAGACTTACATACTTGGTATTTTATGGATTCTTTCGACAAAAACGCAGATTAATAGCCAGAATGAAGCAAGGTCCTAGATTCACAATTGATTTTTTAATCCAAATCCAAAAATGAAGTCCTTATTTTCCCACCTTACAATAATTTTCTGTAAAATCCAAGATTCTCAGAACGACCTAAGTTTTTTTTCTATCAGCCCTTGATTTTTCTTAAAATCAAATTTTCCAAAAAACACCTTTTCAGCTTACAAAACGTATGTTTTTTTTGCTTTTTTTAATCGATTTTCAAAGACCTTGGAAGGTGATTTTTAAAAAGTCGAAGCCATTTTTAGACTCAGCACTAATATCTGTTGAAATGCGCCTTTAAGATCGCACCCTTGTTTTGAAACTAAATTTTTTTATGTTCATTGAAAATTTTTCAAAACGACCTCCTGAAAATTCTTCTGACACTTATTATTTCTCGCCTATATTATTTGTATCTGGTCATTTTGCCCATGTTAAGTTCGTCTTATGTGTGTCTTCAAAGTAAATCACAATTTTTTCTTTTGTTAGGTGGAGGAAGAAATGACATTGATGACCGAATATCGTAAAATTGAAGCTCGTAAACGCGAGAGAGATAAGAAGACACAGGACTTGCAGAAGCTTATCACCGCAGCGGACAACCAGAGTGATGGCACAAAGTCAGAGAAGAAAACGGTGGCCAGGAAGAAATTTACGCAAGTACGTCCCAAAATTGATACGAGCGTCATCGAAACGGCAGGCATCAAATTCCCTGATTGCAAGAGCAGTGGGGTTTCTGTCAGGTCGCAGCGCATGAAACTTCCAGCCAGTGTGGGTCAAAAGAAGATGAAGGCCATTGAACAGATGTTGCAGGAACTCGGCATAGGTAATGTATTTTTCACAGTTTATTTTTTCATTCATATTCTCAGGGTTGCCGGCAGCATAGGCGGTTCTAGACCTCAGTTCTTGTGGGTGCCAAGAGACTTACGACCATTTTGTTGGCACGTGAATGGAGTGTCTGGGGGGGGGGGGGATTTTGGAAATTGAATCTCTCATGGACGCTATTTTGACATATTTTTAACTCAAATATCGTATTGTAAATATTGAGGAGAAAAATTTCATGGTTTTATCGGGGTTTTCGATGTTTTCCCTCTATTATTTCGATTGTTAGGAAATTAATCAAAACTGTTTTTAAGTTAATTGCTCGTGCAACATAAAATTTTTTTACAACAAGTGGAAATAGTCAACAATTTAATTCAATTAAATTTAATTTTGACTTTAAAATTGCAACAAAAAAATAACTAATTTCATGAACACTTCCTTTACTTTTAGCTCTCTGTTATTGCTTAATGGCATTTGTTAAATAAAAATGCATTTTTGCACTGTTGGCGTCACCTCCAATGCTGCTTGTGGGCTCACGTAAACCCACATAGAACTGCTCACGGCCGGCAGTCTGGAAAACTGGGGAAATCAGGGATTTTTCAATGACAAGAGAAATCGAGGAATTTTTAACCTATCTACTAACCACTAAAACATGTTGCTGATTCTCCAATTTTTTACCCCCTCTGGTCATTTTTAAGGCTTGTCATCTTTAAAACAGCTTTTGAATGCCTTTTTCCATGATCTGATTTTTAAATAAGGAAATTTTAACCAACGTACAGCAAAATTCAGCGTATTCAAAAGAAAAATCTGAGTGGAAATTTTTTTTGAAAGTTAGGGAAAGTCAGAAAAAAGCAAAATTATAGGAATTTGAAGATGAAGAAATTATGACAATTCTGTATCCTATTTCTTGCCAGCAACAGCGGAAATTATGCAAATTTGAGACTATAACATTTAAGTCTCTAGTCGTGGACAGCCACCATTCAGATTCCATTGATAGATCAGTCTGTCACAAAAGAAATGAAGAGTTTTTTTGCACTTTTTTTTCACTTGATTAGAGGTGCCCAGTATCAAAAGAAAAGAAAAATGGGCAAGTAACCAAGGTCAAATTACTTGCCGAACAGTTTAGTTGTTTTCAATGGCTGATTTGACCTAAATTGACAATGGTTTTTTTTTTTTTTTTTTTTTTTTTTTTTTTTTGGTAAGCGGGAAGAATAGAATTACGTTTTTGTAAGGTAAACTAGAAATACTCAATCTTGGAAGTTTTTAATACGTTCAATGTTTTCTGCATGAAATTTTGACATGAATAATAGTCGTTCAGAGGTCTAATCCTTGCTCTGTTTTGTGGTCCATCGTTTATAAGTGGATGGGAGGCTGAAGTCAAAATTTTTTCTTATTTCAAGTATTGTCTGAGTTTTCTTTTCTATACTCTACTCAATTTCTTCTTCCTTTTTTTTGATCTCGCAGAAGAAAACCCAATGCCTACAGAAGAGATTTGCCAACACTTCAATGAACTTCGCAGTGATATGGTTCTCCTTTACGAATTGAAAATGGTCCTCCAAACGTGCGAGTACGAATTACAAAGTTTGCGTCATCAGTATGAGTCTATGTCTGGAGGTGAGTTGTTTTTGTTTTTTTAAATTTTAAATTTCTGTTGTTAGTAATTTCTAATTTCTTTGGATGAGGATCACTGAAATTCTGTTCAGATGTACCTATCCACTTGTTCAATTCTGAGGAGCTAACAGTGCAAGTTTAGCTCCAATTAATATTTTGGTGTCTCTGAGTCTTTTGTCTTAGCCGATAGTCAAATGACAACTCAGTGTCTTTTTGTTAAAACTTTCATGTCTTTCCTTATCAATTAATAAGCAGATATGCTCCAATTATTCGACAGTTTGTGGTGAGGGCTGCATCAGATATCGAAAAAGTCAGACAATCGAAACCACCAAAAAAAAACAAAAAAAACAAAAAATGCCATTTCAGGCCCTGTTCGTAACTATAAAGTACAAGTGTGGCCAAATTTTCAAATCTATGTTAAACATAACCATTTGATCGAAAAAAAACCACTCATCAATTCAGTTTTTGCCCAGAAAACCGAATTTAGCGTTGTCTGTCAACTTATTTTGACCGCAACTCAATTTCGACTGTGTTGGAGAGCTGAGACTTCATATAATCGGTTGGATAATTAAGACATCACTGTACTATAGGGATTCACCAAAATTCTAACTTCTATGGTGCACACACTATGGATACAAGTTGAGTAGTAATTCGAGTTTTTGATGGAAAACTCTCCAGTATCTCAAAAAATAGGTTAGGAGCAGTCTACTAGGTTTCAAGGGTTTAGTAAATGCTCAGTCGATCTCTTGATCTCAGGATTGCGGGAAATGTAGGGAAAATCTTGGGTTGTGAGGCAATTTTAAAGAATGATTTTTTATTTCTACTTGCTTAATATGTTTAAAGAAAGATACAAATCGCTCATTTTATCATGGAATCAGGAGATAAAACTCGCCGGTTCAAAATTCTCGCTAATACGAATTTTTCTCCAGTCCTCGGAATTTCAAATTATGGAGAGTCGGAGTACATTTTGCAATCAGAAGCTACAATTTCTGGCTCAGTCTAGAAACAACATATGTACCATTAGTTACCCTATGCACGTCAAAGTTTAATGGATGAAACAGAAATTGTAGTTCTTACTTAAAAAATGCCGTCCCAATTTATACTCATTTCAATGGAAAATTCCTTTTGTGAAAGGAAAACTGAATCAGTTCATAAGGAGCTGATGAATGTTCTCCCAGGACTCTTCTCAATGGGTTCGCCCAATGGAATTTCACTATCAAGCTGTAACACTCCAAAAATTTGTGCTATCAAAACAAAATCGATTTTAAGATTTTATTTTTTGTTTTGTTACAGATTCCAAAGAGCCAAAACCAGCAGCATCAACTCAATAAACTATCTCAAGTCCAATTAAATATTGTTCGTAATCTAGGTCTTAACTTGCATGTAAAGTGTAATTATGTTGCATTAAATATTTTAGTACGATTTGTATATGCTCTTGATTTTCTCCTCATTCTTTTGAGATGGATGAGCTAATTATTTCTAAATCGAACACAAATCTACTGTGTTCCTTTCAAAAAATATACTCCTCATCAATTTTGATAACATTAGCACCTCAAATTTATTATAACATTTTTAGAATATTTCCTTGATAAGTAATGAAGATAGTCTTTCACTCATGAATGCGTATGAAATCGGTTGATGAATGTTTAGATCACAATCTAGAGGTCCAATCATTGAAAAAGGTCTTTACTGATAATTCATTCTCAAAAAATGAGACAAGGGCAAAAGAAATGGCTGACTTTTTACATTTTTTCGCTTTAAACGTTCGTTTTTTTTTTTTTGAAAGAATGGCACTTTGCAGATGAGAATCTGAATGGTGGCTGTCCACCAAAGGAATTTTAAGGCTGAGATCACGACTGCTGCGTAGATCTTTCTGCACTCCTGGTGCTTTATCAGGATAAAATAAATAAAAGCCGTCTCAAATCATAACATCACTTTATTTACAAGAATATAAAACAAATTACTGTTATATAAAATAAAATCTATCACCACAAAAAAGACTAAAGCCTACACCATAATGCAATGGTCAGGAGAAGCCAATGATGATCAATGAAAATAAAAAAAGAGAATAAAGTACTGAAAACGAATGGCTTTCGGTGAACATTTTCTGCTCATTGATGCCAATAGTTTCAAAATTTTTATGGTGGTGGGAAATAACCTTTCCCTCAGTCATGGTCTCATGGTTAGACAAGTCCTCCAGCTAGGAAGCCAAAGAGTATGAAGCTTATGTTTTTATTATAAAATTGATAATGCTTCAGTTTCTCGGTTCCTACAAAAAAATGTGGACTAAAGAACAAAATGTGGGAATCCTTTCATAATTGCTGTACTTGAAATCGCTATCTTTTAGCCTATGTACCACCAGCGCCATCTATGCTTTGACGCTGTTGCTACACATCTTAATATTGTCTCAATTCTTCGGTTGAAAATTTTGTCTATACTTTCATGCAAATTTCAAGGACTAACCTTGATGAAGAAAGGAAAATTGAGTGAAATTTTCAGTGATTCTGTTAATTAGTTTTTCTGTAAAAATTGGACGAGTTTGGCAACACAGTTCCTCAGCACAAACAGTGTTTGTGATGCATTGGAAGGTAACAAAATAATAATTATGAAAAACAAGCCCTGATTGAAAGTTCAACTGATCAATCAGATTCTGTTGTAGACAGACAGATCGATTATTTTCATTATCATAGTAATGGTATTTATTTGTCTACTTTGTGTTATTTTAAAAAATCCTGACATTTTTTTCAATATTTCATTGCTTTTTCCTCATATTATTTGTTCAATTGTTCGCAAAAAATTGGTAATGAAAAACATTTAAAAAACCATCTTAATATGTACTTTAAAAAACAAAAAAAATTCAGTTGAAGAAATCTGTAAGACCACACATGGAAGTGAGCTTCGCTCGTTTTATTCATTTATTTTTCGGCAGACCAGTTGTCCTCTTTCAAATATACGAGGTAAACACTCCTAGCAATCTTATAAGAGCTGTGAAAGCCTGTGAAACCATAAATTCAGCTGCCATCTGACCAAAATTTGACTAAATCCACCTCTATGTCTACAGAATCTTTTTTATGGAACTTGTATGAAGCTGGTAAGTCAAAACGTAACTCTGCCACAGCTTTCACTTTGACACCCCATTCCTCTGCCTTCTTCACTATGAACTTCCGCGTTGAGCGCTTGTGCAGTGAATAGACATTGTTTGCTAAACTTAGGCCTACTTGTACAAATTTCATGTCGATACCTTTGTTGCGAGTTCCAAACGGAGGATTCATAACAACGGTATCAAATACTTTCTCCCACCTATCTACGTTAAGCTTTGAAACATCACAGTGCACTAGATCGTAATTTGTTATTTCAAAGTCTTTAAAGTTTGCCTGGCATATTTCTAAAGCGTCATTATCAATGTCAAATCCAACAGTGTATTGAGCGCCGAGTAAATGTGCTCCAATACTTAAGCTGCCACACCCGCAACCCAGATCTGCAACGATCTTATTCTCGATTTGCCCAAAGTAAGATTGGATTGCATGTAATGTGCATGCTGCTAAGTGCGGAGTGGTTAGGTACTGTTCAAGCTCAATTTTAGGTGCATTAAAGCCCTCGACGTCTTCCAAATACTCCTCAAGTTTTTTTAACTTCAAAGAGGCCATAGTTTTGTTAAAATGTGCTGAATCTGACTTAGGTGTTGAAATTGGATCTCGAATACGAGGAGAGAAATGTCCGGTTGTTATTTATTTTCAAATCGAGGGATGACAGGCAGAATGAGATTTCCAAAAGAAGAGTCTTGCTTGATGTAGTAACCAAAAGATGTTTGAAGTGCTAAATTGTGAGCTAACGTTGCTGCGTTCGGAACATGGGCTTCAGAGGATCCAAATACCTGGAACATCAGGAGAAAAACTCATATCAGTCTTGGTACGAACTTATTTAAGTTGATTAAAAAAAAAGGTAAAAATTGATTCTTAAAAATCTGGACAGAGTAAGAAATCATCATCGGCTTAATTTTTTATTCCGTTTGATGAATTCACCAAAGAGATTGGCAGAGAAAAAATTGTAATATCCAAGAGATCTATCACATATCAAAAGATGTCTGTATTGGGTATAGATATGATGGTGTAATTTGTTTTCCTGACTTCAAAAAATCAATACACTTTTTTAAAGGAAAAACCTAGGGAAGCGAGAAAGTAAAAATCACATTCAAATTTTAGTTTATTTTGAGAAGAGAATAACCTAGTGGAGATTTTATAAGGAGACATGCAAGAATAAGAAGGACAATCTCTGCAACGCTTTGTAATATTGATGAACGAGATGTTACGGAAAAATTCTTCCGCAAACTTCCTGGAAAGTTCAATGCAGGACGAAGATTGATTATGTTGAAAAATGATTATGGGAAAATTTTACCCCCATTCTCAACGCAAAAATGGCTTAAAAATGGTGGCAATAGGTAAAAAATTCAAGATTCAGCGTACCTCTTTGAGGGAGAATTGTGCTTGTGTGTGAGCTTTTTCCCTCAGTGATGAGATATCAGCTTTAAGCTGAAATTTTTACGCACGCTGGCTAAAAAACTCCAACACCCTGTCCACGTTTACCGCAATCAGTTTGTGTAAACCCGCCTTGCCAGGTGTATGCGGAGCTGTGTGGACAATCGCTCACTAGATGGCGCAAGTTTACTTGCTGCCAGCGTCCGCTTGCCCAAGTCTTGGGCTGGTTTTCATGACCTCTCGAGCTTGGTAGCAGAAAATTCAGGAGGCTGCACTGTACTGAGGATTGGCCCAACAAGGCCAAAACGCGTCTGCAGTTGCCTTCCTGAATGGACGTAACTAGTGTTGTTCCGAACAGTGTATCTCTTTGAGGAGAAATTGTGCTCGTGTGTGAGCTTTTTCCCTCTGTAAAGAGATATCAGCTTTAGGCTGAACTTTTTCCACACTCTGGCTAAAAAATTCCAACATCCCGTCTTACGGCCCGTGCGTTTACCGCAATCAGTTTGTGTGAAAAATTCATGAGGAAAAATCAAACTGATTTTGGTCTCATGCAAAAGAAGATGTAAAAAGTAGTTCATTGATCCCCAGATTGACCAAAATTCAGGTGAAAATCGGCCAAGTTATGGAGTTTGAACATCCCTTAAATGACAATTACCTAAGGTTTTTAATAATGTTTTATTCTCCTCAAATTGTGCTACCAGAACTTTTCTAATACCCTTTTTCTGACAAACATCACTCGGCAACATCAAATGCATCTTGAAAAAGCTGTCTGGTCTACGTACGACTTGAGACATAACCATAATGAGAATGCAAAGATCTGTGAATGAATAGGTAAGGCAGGAATGCCTGGTGAACTTTCTACTGGGAATGTTGTTATTGGTGTGTGCAGGTGCAGGTGTCTTGTTAAAAAATCCCTGACTAGTTTCTTGGAAGTTCTGATGTAACTTACACAATTATTTTGAGATCCAATTGTATTAAGGCCAGGATTAACGCCCTGTTTCAACAGCATTTGCTTTTTGACTTGCAAGTCCTCTATCAGCTTCCGATTCGCGATCTCTGAAAAAATGTAAAGCAAATTTAATATGCTTAAAATCAATGGAGAGCTGGAATTCTCGAAAAGATTAGTCATAGTTAACATAGTAGTATGGAATAGAATGACTGAGGTTTTTGAATCTGAAATATTACTTCATAGAGGTGTCATCAGCTAAGTTGACAGTTGTTTACTTTCGGCTTGCGAGCGCAAACGACGAATTTCCGCCTCTGCACAAAGCGGCGTTTGCTACTAGCCACCTTGAAGACATCTGTCTCATAATCGTATCATAAAAATTACTAATTAGTTATGATTCGCGACTTTAATGTGGTTGTGATTGACTGTTGTATACTTTTGGCTTGCAAGCGCAAACAACAAATTTCCGCCTTTGCACAAAGCGGCGTTTGCTATTAACCACCTTGAGGACATCTGTCTCATAATCGTATCATAAAAAACTACTAATCAGTTATGATTCGCGACTTTTATGTGGTTGTGATTCCTGTGTGGCTAAAAATTGAAGTGTTACAAGGTTTGAAAGTATTAGGTAAAAAACTTATCTAAGCTTGTTTTCGTGTTTCAACGAGAGTCTGATGTTTTCATGCTTACCTCTGGCATTTTGAGAGGAAAATGCCATTTTCTTAGTCATGCATTCAAATTTCATGAAGCTGTCATAAGAGAAAAGAAACCAATGAGCTATGCAATGTCGCGACAGTGATCAGGAATCAACTTCGAGGCAATTCTACTTGTGCGCACCACAACAAATTCTTAGGAAAGAAAGTATAAAACAGCAAGATCACATTCGAACGAGGATAAAAATAATCTAAATTATCTTCTAAATTCTCAACGATGGAGCCTTTGCTTATGCTCAATCAAATGTATGTTTCTCCTGTTTAATTTGTTTTGTTGACACTTTTTAAAAGCTAACCTCAAAAACATTCTGAAGAGCCTGCGCGCGCTCTGGCGGTCTAGTCATGGTCTAGTCTCTAGTCATGGACAGGGACCAGTTCTATAGGACCCTGGACTCCCGTAAGAGTCAATGTAAAAATTCGTGAGCAGGTACTAGTGCTGCATTCTCGCGTAGGATCCTCGCAACTCACTGCTGTTATCAGTTGTTTTATCAGTTGTTGGACTTCATTAAAATCCGTAGGATCGCGTATAACTGCAAAAAATCGAATTTTTCACCGTATTATTACATGCGGCGTGCCCTTCCTTGCCGAAAGGGGTCGAAAAACGCCAAAAATATACTTATTTTTCAAGAATTCAGCCGCCTTATGTGTTATTTTTCAATCTCCAGCTTAACCTCACTTTTGGAGCGGGCGATGGATGAGTCGAGGTTCGGGGGGAAGGATCCTCTGAGTTGACTAGGATCCTACGCGAGAATGCGCTGCAATCACCCGCTCACAACAGAACGGCGTCCTATAGAACTCGTCCCTGTCATGGATGAATATAATACTAACGTACTAATGTAATATCTTCGTCCATGGTCTAGTTCTAAAAACAACCTGTAACAACAGCCTCTCTTTGCAAGTAATGCAAGTTGCAATTTGCTTTGCTTGGTGTAATCAACACCTTTGGAACTTTCTCATTTCCGTGTAACACGACATGTACATGTGCGTATTGTGCGTGAAGAAACAAGTGCTTCAAATAATCAAGAGGAGAATTTTTTTTTCAGGATCCGAACATCATACGGTTGATTCCTCTTATTCTATTCCGACTTATTCTACTCTTGCTCCTTCACTACTTGGAGTTGTCTTGCCTCGTCTTGTTTATGAAGATTTGGAATAGGTAGCCGAGCTTCTGATATTCATTATTCTTCTGCGGAAACCTGAGCAACTCCTCATGAAATGGTAACTGCCACTCACATCATTTTTGTAACAGCTTTCAGCGCAAGGATCATTGTAGAGTGACCATTCACTCACCTGTGGAGTATCAGCTGCCTATTTTAATAAGGTGCGCAATTGAAAGAAACGGCCTCGCTGAAAGTTAATTGGCTAGGCTGTACGCCACTAGTTGGCTTAGCTATTACTGTGAGATATGAAAGTCTATGATCTCTCAGATCTCATACCCAGATCACCCAGTTACTTCTCTGACGGACAGCTACGTGCGAAGTGCGAAAGATGACGACGGGAAGCATGAGAAAAGGAAATAATTATGAATAATAATTTAGCCACGTTACAGGAATTCTACTCAATTTCCTACGAAGTAACAAGGTGGAGAAGTGGTGCTGGGTCCACACCATTTCGCGGGGAAATCAAAGCCAATAAGTTTCAAAAATTATAATTTGAGTCAAAAATGAAACTTTTTAACTCTTATGAGTACCAGTTCGAACCTGAGGGGGGGGAGGGAGAGAATGTTCAGCTCAGGCAGTTTGCATTGGAATATTAAGTTGGAGTCCAGGCGAGAGATCTATACAGGTTTGGGTCTTTTTAGACCTCATCAACAGATCACACTTGTCAGTGAACCCAACTTGCAACATGCTGCAAAATCCAAGACAGTATTATAACGCCGTCATGGATATGACCTTGGTACGGGTTTTCTTTGTGGTGCCGGCCCCTAGGTGCATGCTGCGTGCGCCTGAGTATATTATAAATCTAGCTCTGAATATAGGATGGCTGGGGTGTCCCACTTCGAGGGTCCCCTTGATGATGGTACCCTCTAAATCGTTGACTCCACTTGTAAAAATAAGATTTCACTTATGAAAAAAATTCTAAAAATTTTTTTAAGGGTTGCACACGGCCAAACCCCCCCCCTCCTCCTGCCTTGGGCTAAATTCTACTTTTTGTCCATTTTGACAATTTTTTTTTAACATTAGAATTGAGCTACAGCTTTAAAAATTTCACAGTGAGAGCATATGTTAGGGTACTTTAAAGAAAAATTATTGTACACATTATCATGCATTCCCATTTTTTGCTATAAACCCTCAAAATCGGCTAAAAACGCAAGAATTTCAAGATTTTGTATTTTTGTCTTACGACAATTTTTTCAGCTGACATAGTTAAATTAAACATGAAACGTACCATTAATTGCATCTTGATACTGTTTTTGACCAAAATTCATACTTCACTTAATTAATCCCCCCCCCCCTTATTTTTAACCTTAACTCCAGCGTTTCCACAGTCGCGACAGGTGCATGAGATTTTTTTCTTTTTTCCATGAAAGATAATATTTGTATTCATATTATTACATTTTAAATGTTGACGTAACATCTAATTAAAGTGGTACTTAGTACTTATGAAAAATGGGAAAGCATGATGTGAACTTTTTTTTTAAAAAATTTGTTATTCTGATAATAAAGGAATTTTTACTAAAATAAATGGGAATGGACCCAAGCACCAAATAAGTAGAAACAGCATCATTCCTTTCTTCCAAAATACTTTAACAAAAGCTCTGTAGGAAATAAGAAAAACTGACTGAATACTGAAATACTTCAGAAAAACAAGGGGTTGGCCGTGCGCAACCCTTATAAAATTTTTTTCTTTGTGAAATATTATTTTTATAAGTGGGGTCAACGATTTAGAGGGTACCATCATCAAAATTCGGAGGTGCCGAACATACCCTACGTTGGCCGCCTCTGTAAATGATCATCAGTTACATACTTCATGTTGAATTAGTGCCACTCTGAAGGACTGGTAGTCGCACTACCATCCAGTTTTGCAACTATTTTACTTTTATCTCGGTATAGATAAGATATCAGGGTGTGCTGAAGTGCTTTTACTCAGAATTATGATTTCTGAACGGCGCACTTCCAAGTAAAATAATGCTAGTTGTGTTTAATATTTTTCTGGCATTTTTGAGAGAAAACATTTGAAACTTTTTTTACAGTTTCAGGTTATCACAGATGGTCACATTAGCATACCAACTGAACACTGACTCAGCATCCCTTTTATTTGTGATCTATACCAGTCCAGTCACTCTCTAGGCCTACTTCAAATTTCTCGTCTTCATTCTTCTCAACCACAACATTGATGTTGGGAGTCTTAATTACAGGTACATTCTGCCTATCTTTATTTTCAATTGAATTCTTTTGGAAAAATCATAATTGATTAATTTAATTAATTAAAATTGGACGGATCACAAAATGCAGCCCCACAGCACATTTTTTCACATCAAAATTTAATGCTGAACAAGTTGGATATATTGAAAACTTCAAAATTAACTCCTAAAGTCAGAATTAACATTCATAGTTTACATAATAAATGATAAATTCGAACTTTCCATCCCCCAAAAAAACGAGAATCAATGTAGGTCGAATCAATCAGTAAAAATTACCTTTGCATTAAGTAAATAACTAGAGCTTGATTTTATAATCATTTTCTTCCTCTTCAGATACAAGACCTCTTTAATTTTGTCAAAAGAAAGTCAGTTCACAGGGAATTCTTCTGTAAAACATATGGAAGTTAGTGTAGTACTCACTTTAACTTGAGCCAACTCTGGTTGTTTTTGTGAATGACAAGTGTAAATTATTGTGTGTACCTACACCGAAAAAAATGGATCGCTGATTTAACAATTCAGTTGTTGAAAAAATGACTGCAATGTTTCAAATGCACATTTTACAATATTGGAAAGCTAAATTTAACCACGGGGATGGTTCAAGTAGCATATTTTGTTGTTAAAGTAGCATTTTTTTGTTGTAAAATCTACATCAAAACATTGCAGTCACTTCTTTTAACAACAAAATCGTCAGATCAGCAATTTAATTTTTTCCGTGTAGGAACAGTTATGGTTTATGAGTTTGCTTTTGTAAGTCTTAGTGTATTCATTTTATTCTACATACAATTTGGATAAAGAAACATATATTGTGTTGCATATTTTGTACCCTTTCTGATGGTTTCTTATACATATACACCTATCAGTCATTTTCAGTTTAATGAATTGCTGAAATTAAGATAAAACTGTGCCTTAGTAGCTGTTCATTTTAGAGATTCAATGACAGAGAGAAAACCACAAAGGATCATTTGATTTTTATTTCAGATTTCCTACAAATAGACGCATCCATTTTCATTCAGCTGCATCCAGTAGAATGAAAGAAAGCAAAATTCTCCCTGCTCACAACAAAAACAAACAAAGAAACAAAAAAACAACGATAAAATTTAACAGACACAACTCTGAAGGTCAACATTCGAAAACTCAAATTTAACAAATAAGCAAAAAGCCTGAGTTTTTTCATGTAAACCTAGACGTTTTGTTAGTCTCTGTAAATGTCGTCTTCTTTTTGGTAAGGAGGTGTGTCAGTAGTCTGTTTTGTATGATGTTCTTGTAACAATTTCCCTAAGTTTATACACTGTTTCTCCTTTTTAGTTGGCACATCATTGAGGTTGTTATATTTGGCCGAGTACAACAGTAACGCGCCAAGTCCCATTTAGGAAAAAAAAGAGGGTTAATCGAGTTTTGAATTTAATTAGTTATCAATTATCTCCCATCAAAAATTCAAAGCTCAGAAGAAATATTTTGAATATGAAAATAGTCATCCTTTGTCTTTCAAATTCAGTTTAATGAAGGGATAAAACTAGGTACAAACTCATTCTCATGGCACATTATTCCTTTTTGTTTATTTTAGCTTTCAGATTTTGTTGTTTCAATTTCCTGAGCTTAGCGCAGCGTAACCATGTTCTTATCGGTTTCTATTATGCAGAGAAGAACGTAGTAACAGTTTTCTGATCATCACTGCTGCTGTAGGACTCATGGTTGTCAGCCTATAAGAGTGAGTATCTCTAGCCATAAAACTCTCAACGCCAAAATTCAAAGATTATAGAATTGAATACCTAATGCATGAACTCTAATCTACCTCCTGAAGTCAGAACCAGTTATTTTTTGTTTCCATTTCTACTTTTTATATTTTATTTGTGTACAGAAGACTTTTTTCCCCCTAAAATCAAGAATTTTGAAATTTTAACTCTATAGCGAACAAAATTCAATTCAGTGCTATTTGAAATCATGAAGAATATTTCTGTAACCAAGACGGTATGTTCAAAAATTTTCATCTCTTGGAGGTTATTCACAGAAGTCAAACAGCTAAATTTTGACAAAGCCCCATTTTAAACCCAAAAATAGGTAATTATTCTAATGATTGTAACAAACTTAGTTATTGATGAAATATTTTCAAAGAGATTTCGTCAGCGTAGAATATCGTTTGATGTTAAAGCTATGTTTTACAAGCCAAATTTTCTTATTTGAACTTAGTTCCTTGATATCTTTAGGGTCTTGAGCATACGCACAGTAACAAGGTGCTTAAAATCTTTGTTAAAGTGATAACCCGGATAAGTACTTTCAGGAACTGCCAATCACAGTAATCAGTAGTGCTTACAATGAATCATTTGCAGAAATTAAAATGAGATTTCTGGATATGTCGTTGGAGTGTCTCCTAAATTATAGTTTTTCAGCTGCAGACTCACTAAAATTTGCCAAGTACGTGCTTGTATTAGGAAGCTGATAGTTTTTGAAACAACTTTAGGTGATTTAAATCAGGTGAAAGGATCATGGATGCCCGAAACGAGAAACTCCTAGCACTTTTTCATACTCGCAAAAAAAAATTTGTTGCTCAGTACAAACAATTTTTTAGATCTTTTTCAAAAGCCAAAAGTTTTTACTTTTATGTTTTAACAGAATTAATAAGAGCAGTCTCTATAAATAAAACAGATGCTTTTGAAAGGCTCTGTGATGTAATAGAATTTGTGAGCATCAACAATGATGCAACGCAAGCATATCTTAAAGACCCAGAAAATCCCTTAAGTGGCACTAATTTAGTAATTCTAGCTTGTAAATATAACAAACCAGAAATTTTAAAACTCTTGTTTGGACAGTGCCTGAAAGTTCTGAATATATTGGATGGGATGGAAGTTCCTCGACTAGATTACGCAGAGAAAGAGGGTCACAGTGCCTTGTATTATGCTATTAGTTCAAATAACATTATTCTCCTGACTGTTCTTTTTGAGCAATCTCCGAGCACAGTTCCCAGTTTCAACTCTAGAAAGTTTGATGAGGTTTTCTCCAGAGCTTACAGAGAATTAAAATTAAAAAGGGTCCCTCTATCTCGTGAAATGGAATCATATGTTGAAAATAAGTTGTTGGATCTGCGGTTTTTTTCTGAAAATTCAGTGCAAGTTGAGCATACTGAAAATTACTTGAGTAATATCATAAAGCGCATTGAATTAGTGGTTGAAAATATTTTTTCATTGAATGAGGAATATTCTGAAGCAAATGTGAATGATAAATTTATACTTATCGCAAAATTTATTGCACGTAACATTTATGTACTGAAGCGGCAACTGAAATCAACTTATAGGAAATTACCGTGGGAGGAAATTGAATTTTGCTTGATCTGTTTTGTATCCTGTCAAGAGAAAAAACAAGAACTCAACATTCTTTATAGTCTCACCTTAAATAAAAGCAAAATATTAAAATACCTCAAAAGTTTTGCTCTAAAATTAAAAGATGAAAAATTTACTGAGGATCATATCGACATCTGCAAACTTGCCGTTCTTCCTAACTTAAAGCGTTATCAAGTGATCCAAGAAATCATTCAAAACAGTCCTGAATTTGAAAGCTTATATGATGATTACAAGAAAGTGCGGAATATCACCTCTTTAAGGAAAATAAGTTTCTTTGTAACACTAGCAGTGTCTGCTAATCCTGAAGAGAGAGAAGCTGAGCTATTAATTGCTAGAGCTTTGCAAGTTATGGGCGAATATTTTAAAAATACTTTGGAATCCCCCAAGTTATCCGACACAGTAAGTGAGCTTTTGTTATCATCACTATCAAGGAACACAAGAAAAATTATCATAGATTTACGAAATGCATTGTCGCATTCATATTCTCTAGCAAAGCGAACTAAGATTGAAAAAAAAGGTGACAGAGATTTTTTTGCTGGAATCCAGAAGGATTTAAAAATTATATTACATCAAGTCAATGATTTTCTCATTCATAATCAGGTTGAATGTTTTGAGTTATTCTTAAGGAAAGTTTCTATTGCTAAATGCAAAGATGATTTGCAAGAAGTTATAGAGACATTAAGTTGGGAAAATTTCAATCAAATGATTCCTCAAAATCCTGAAATCTTAAAACTCAAAAAACTTGAGGAACTGATGGAAGGATTACGCAGTTATGCAACGGATCTAACTAGTTTTGAAAAAGGATTGTTCAAAGAAATCGAAGAGTATTTGGCACCTTTAAGTACTCAATCAGAAGCTATATTCTCTGGTCATTTAATGAGATTCAATGCAGTAATTAGCACAATCATTATTCTAAAGCATGAGAAAGTTGATTCACAACTTTTCAACAAGTTAAAGTTGGGTGCCTTAACATTTTTAAACAATGTCGATTTAAGAATAAAACCAAACATTTTGAAAGCAGCCATCGATAGGTCATTGGCAATTTTCAGGAGTGTTAAACCAAGGGTGAAGATTGAAGAATTTGAAAAAATTCATATGTTAGAGTTGAAATTATTTCATCTTGCAGAGATTGCTATCGATGATGTTGAATGGATCAAAAAACTTAGAGAAGAACTGATCAAGAAAGATGTTTTGTATTCGACTGCTACTGAAGAAGCGACTGCAGATGCAATAAAATTTGAATACAGTGATAGACTTACGTCAAAGATCAAGGAACTACGAAGCATTTTAAAGAGAAGTGGTTTGGACGGAAAGATAGTTAAGAACTTTTCTCATAAGCAACTAATGCTACTTCCTGTGATAAAGATGCTTGTCTTGGATATAATGTCAATTTTAGTCAGTGCGAAAAAGTGTTTGGAGAAGAACACCTTTCTCATGGATGAAAATGTCCCTCTACTGATTGGAAAATGCTTACGTGATCATTTAGCACATAATAATGCCACAGTTGATTTGATTTTGGATGACCCAGATCTGTCTGTTGTCCTCAATGCGAAGAAACTCGCTAGTATTGAAAATTTGATTAATTGTACAAGTAAAGTTGGTAAATTTATGGTAGAAAATCCCTTCACACTAAGAGACAAGCACAATCAAGAGCTGAATATCATTACGAATCAAGAAAAAATGTTCTCTGCTCTCGTCAAAGGAAATACAGAATTATTTGAAAATTGTCTCAAAGAAGGATCAGATATCCGTTCAAGGAGTAATAATCTTTCAACAGCAGTGCATTTTGCCTGTAAAGGCTCAAATCTTGAGGTTTTACAATCTCTTTTAAAACAGAACTTGAGCCCAAACACGAGAAATATTGATGGCCAAACTGCTCTTCACATGGCAGCACAGCACGGAAATCATAATGTCGTGCTTTTCTTGTTAAAAGAAGTCAAATTAAAAGTTGATGACATCGATAACTTCGGAAGAACGCCATTGCACCTAGCTGCCAAAAATGGTCACTTAGATTGTGTCAAAGTTTTATTGAGGAATAATGCCAGTACTTTAGTTGAAGATGGCCAGAGGTTCTCTCCATTACTTCAAGCAGTCAGAAATAAGCATTTAGCAGTAGTCAAAATTCTGATGGAAACAAAGAGAAACGTTAGTATCAACTCATCTTCTTCTGATGGTTATACCTTGTTACACTATGCTGCAGGAGGTGGATCTCTTGATTTGGTTAACTTTTTGCTGCTTAATAATGCCAATGTTAATGCTCAACATGATTATGGTGAGGCCCCATTGCACTTAGCGGCAAGTAATGGTCATTTGAATGTGACCAAGGCTTTGATTCAAAACGGAGCTGATGTGAACTGTAGAACCATCCAAGGTTTTACTCCTTTACACAGTGCAGTAATATCCGGGCATGAGACAATAGTGAGGGTTTTGTTGCAACATGGTGCAAATCCAAACATATGTGTATTTGATGAAGCAAAGGCTTACACACCTCTACATTTTGCAGCGGAACAAAACTGTAATGGAATCCTTTGTGCATTACTAGAGTATAAAGCTAATGCTGATATTCCTACTTTGACCGGTGAAACTCCATTATCTATTGCCGCAAAATTTGCTTCCCTAAAAATCGTTTCAACTCTCCTCAAACACGGCGTTGACATCCAAGCTTCAACTAAAGTTAATCCCTTGCATTATGCATCTGCTAGAAGCCATATTAAAGTCACTGAATTGTTAATAAAAAGTGGAATTGATGTAAATTCCAAAGATGCCAGTGGAAGAACACCATTACATACTGCTGCACATTTCGGTGATGTAGACATAGTCAGACTTTTAATAAAACACAAAGCTATGGTAAATACTCAGTGTGTCAGTGGTTTTACCCCATTACATCTAGCTGTGGTGTCTGGAAATATTGCTATCATTGATGTTTTAATAAGAAATGGAGCTGACGTTAACATTAAGAATAGCGATGGAACCACAGCAATTCATTTTGCAGCGTTGAATGGATGCCAGGAAGCAGGCAGTATTCTAATTAGTAATAATGCTGACATAAACATAAAAACAAACAATAATACCGCACCTTTGCAGACTGCTATTAAGGTAGGGCACCTAAACATAGTAAAGCTTTTTTTTAATGTGAGCAATGCCAATAAGGCGGAATATTTTAATGAATTAGGAGCCTTACACCTTGCCGCTGAAGTGGGCAACAAAGAAATAACAGAATTTTTAATAGCAATCGGGGCAAGTGTTAATTTGAAATTTCGCAGCCATGGACCATTAATCCATGCCGTGAAATGTAATTGTGTGGAAATTGTGGAGTTACTTCTTGACCATGGGGCCAATGTCAATGAAAATAATGGTGAACCCTTGTACCTTGCAATCGACTATGGTTTCAAAGATGTCTTTGAGATTCTTTTGAAAAATGGGGCCCAAGCTGATAGGAAAATAAGTGGGGATGCCACCTTGCTACATTTTGCTGCAAATAAAGGAGATGCAAGAATGGTGATTGCATTAATTAATAGAGGAGCTAAAATTAATGCTTTAGCTGCAAGCGGTGTAACGCCATTATCAGTAGCATCCATGCGAGGTCATGTAGAAGTTGTTAAGGCTTTAATTATGAAAAAGGCCGATACAAATATTTCTAGTGATGCGGGCCCTCCATTACATGTAGCTGTAGCTCACGGCCATCTAAAAGTCGTTGAAATTCTGTTGAAGAATGGCGCTAAAACTAACCTCACAGGTCCTAGGAATACAACTCCATTAGAACTAGCTGTTGTTAGAGGTGATTCACAGATAGCTCAAATGCTACTCAAACTACCGGAAGGAAATGAAATAGATGTTAATATTAGAGTTGACCATGGAAGAACATTATTGCATCAAGCTGCTTTGCAAGGTAATTTAGAACTAGTGAAGCTCCTGACGGATCATGGATTTGATGTGAATGCTATGGATGACTCAGGTGCAAAACCTATTCACTGTGGAGCAACTGCAAACAAAAAAGAAACCATTGAGTTTTTTTTGAACAAGGGACTAAGCATGCATGAAATTGATGCCTTTCGACGGACTCCATTACACTATGCTGCTGCAAAAGGTAGCATAGAAGTTACGAATCATCTCATTACCCGAGGAGCAAACATTAATTCTGAAGATGTTGATGATTTAAAACCTATACATGTTGCAGCTGCTAACAATCATAAGGAAATTATAAAAATCTTTTTAAGGAATGGATCATCTTATTGTGCTATGGATAAGTTTAAAAAGAAACCTCTTGAGTACTCTTTAAATGAAGAAGTCAAAGGTTTGCTGTTATCTACCGAGAAATTATTTGATTGCTTAAAACAAAATAATCTTTCAGAACTTGCAACTTTGGTTAAGGCAGGGGCTTGCGTCGATTTGATACATCCCCAATTTGGAACTCCTTTACACTATGCTGTTTGGAAAGGTTATGACAAAATTGTTGAGTGTCTTTTGGAAAATCATGCCAATCCAAATACAGTCACGGAAAAAGGTTTTACCCCCCTGCACTATGCTGCTAAGTACTCTCGCTCACAGTCGGTTATCAGTTTACTGCACAAGGGTGCAATGTATAACTTTGCTTCCAATAGTGAAAAAATGCCTCTGCATTTTGCCAAAGATGTTAAAATTATGTGGCTTTTAAAAATGATCGACCACGCCTTCAGAAGCGTGAAAAATGGTAATGTTCAATTTTTGTGTGATATCAAGAAAGTAACCGATAAGGAAATTGTGAAAGCGATAATGCAAGCATGTAATGAAGAAAACCGCACTCTAATAGTGGTTGCCATTCACCATAAATTTCCTTTGGTAAAACAGTTGAAAGAGGTATTTCAATTTTCTGGGTCCATCGAAGCTGTCAGGCAGTTGATTCATTCCAAAAATGAGAGCGCTCGCAGTGAAAGTATGTTAGAAAACCTTTATGAAAATAGAAGAGATATTTTAGGAGAGGACAGCCCAGGCACTTGGGATGTGCAGGTACTGATGGCTGAACTGAAGTGCACACAAGGGCACTATCAAGAGGCTGTGAACATTCTGAATAATGTCAACAAAAAGCAAATAGAAATGCTAGGCAACAATAGTGATGATACTCTGCTGTCAAGGAGAATGATAGCATTAGTATTGTCTAAATCAGGAGATTTCGAAAAATCATACACAATTTTTCAGGAAATTTATCGCGCTAGGAAAAGAATCTCAGGACCAAATCATTTTGACACCTTAGATGCTTTATTTGATGTGACTGCAACTTTGGGTAATTTAGGGAAGTGTGAGGAAGCTTTCAGAAATTTTCAGACAATATTTGAATTTAGAAAAAAACTTGTGGGCGAAAACCACGAGGCTACTTTATTCGCAAGAAGTAATATGGCAGCTAGTTTAGCAAACCTAAAAAAATTCGAAGAGGCATTAGAAATTTTTAAAGAAGTTCATGCGAAAAGAAAAATCGTTCTTGGCATTCATCATCGTGAGACTCTGAGTACCCTGCAAAACATTGCACAAATGTACCTTTCTCTAAAGAAATATCGCAACGCCTTAAATGCTCTCGAAGAGGTCTTCAATATTCAAAAAGATAAGTTAGGGCCCAATCATTATGATACCTTATATTCTCAAGCTACTATCGCTGAAACTTTATCTTTACAAAACAAGATCCATTCCTCTCTGAAAATCTCAAAAGAGGTACTAGAGCGGAGTAAGGCTCTTTATGGACTCGATCACCCACTTGTAATCAAAGTATCTAAAACAATTAAGGAAACCAATCTGCGGTTGAGGATGGAAGGCATAAATATTACAGAGCAGAAAAATATATACATTGCAGCCTCTGAAGGAGACTTGAGGACTATCGAGAGACTTTTTTACACTGGAGTAGGTGTCAACGATAAAGATGCTGAAGGCAGATCACCTTTACATTATGCAGTTAATAATGGACATTTTACCGTCGTAAAATTTCTACTAGAAAACGAAGCTGATCCGACTCTTACTACTAACAAAGGCAATTCTCCGTTGCACACTGCTGTAGCAAAAGGTGACAAAACAGTCGTTGAAATTTTATTTCAGTATGTCCCCGAAAATAAATTAAATCATTTCATCAACCTCAAAACAACCGCTAGTGGTAATTCAGCTTTACATATTGCGACCAGAAATGGTAATTTGGATGTTGTCAAATCTTTATTGAATCATGGTGCAAAGTACAGTATTAAAAATCAAGAAAATAAAACACCCCTTGATGTATCTATAAATCGGACTATTTCTGCACTTTTAGAAGAAATGGAGGGTTTGTTTGAGGATGCCGTGAAAGGTACCACCGAAATCGTCGGAAAATTGAAAGCAATGAATACAGATGACTTTAAGGTAGTGACAAATGCTCGTAATCATTCAGGGCATACTCTCTTTCAATTAGCGTTCCAGGCAGCAAAAAAACATGAATATATTGTGAGTCAATTTTTGGGGATGTATTGTTCCAATGCATCATCTAAGTAGTTTTATCTAGGACTGAATTTCAACATTCTCAAGGGCAAATGTGTTTTTAGCTCTTATTTTTTTTTTTTTTTTTAATTAAAAAGTCAACAAACAAAAATATTCCTATTAGCCATTACAAATTAAAAAATTTCTATTTTCCGTGATATCTCATATTTTGAGGGTGGTAGTCATAATTTTTTTATTGTTGCAAAAATGAATAAGCTCAGTTGTGCTGTTCATCATGTTTCCCCTTTTTTATCAATTATTTTTAAGTACCTGCCTTTTACATGTCTATGTGTGTATTGAATGTTATTGCATGGAGAGACATGAATTATATTTTTGTTATCCTATCATTTATGTTGCTATCTTGTTACGTTTATGTGTTGCGGGATGCATCAAAGGACACAACTAGTACCTGAAAAAATGGGGCAGGAAAAGGGTTGCACAAAAGAAATGAAAAACATAAAGGATTGAACATTTCCATGAAATATTTCTTGAAATTTCACCAAGCCACGAAAAATATGAAAACTATTAATGACCAAAGTGCAAAACCTCATATCTCCATCGCTGTTTCAACATTTTTGCTACTCTTTTTATTTTCTCTAAAAGCAGCAAGCTACACAGCTTGAAATTCGTCTAGAATATTCTGCTAACTAGAAAAATCAAGGAAGTTTTTGAGAACTTACGTTAACTAGTTTTCTGAAGAAGAAATAAAGTAAGACAAGAAGTCTACAACATCGCAAACGGAGATACCTGGTTTCGTTATGGACATGGATATGAAATACATTTTCAGTGGTTAGGTATGTAACTTGCTTAAAAAATCAGCAACAAGCTAAACCCCATAATTTTTTGCATTTAATTTCATTTAGTATTTTTCAATACCTTTCCAAAATTTCCGAAATTTCATAAAATATTACACATGAAATTTAAAAATCTCATTCTTCTTGAAAAATTGCAACTCTGGAGGAATGCTCCATTAGTAACTTCCAAGCTATGAAAAGTTTCTGATCATACCAAAATAGAACATCCACAAACCATGGATCCTCATTCTCAGATCAATTTTTCGGTTAAGTATTTTTAAGAAGTGTTCAAAAAAAAAAAAAAAAAAACAGCATATGTATTTCTCTGATTTTTCTATCAGTTTCCTCTGATATCTTTTTACCTCATTAATCGTTCAATAGAAAAAAACCAAGATCACAAATGATATTGAACTGAGAATGACTGATGTAATATCTTAAACTAATTAAGGGGAATGCAAACGCAATTTTCTCATCAAGTATTTTTCATTTATTATCTTCAGTTTTCGGTCCATACATGTACCATCCCGTTGTGCCTAATAAACGAATTTAAATTGTGGCAAGTTTGTTTTATTTTAGTTTCCCACGCAGATTTTTCTGTGTCTCTGCCTTTTACCGTAAATCCTGTTAGAATCAAACTGAGATTGTCCTAGCAAAATGGAAGAGCTTGGTTACTTAACATCAAAAATTCATTCATAGGAATTAGATGAGGGATTGCACTGATAACTGAGTTAAATCGCACGATTTTTAAAACTCTTAAATTCCTCTATCTATTATTTTCAGACATCAGTGGCTAAAGTGCGAAACCCTTATATCTCCATCTGCAAAATTGCAAATTTCCCGGGCATATTTTACTTCATTTTCTTTATTTTTTTTTATTTTTTGTGGGTGAGGGAGGGGTGGTGTGTTTGTGTGTGTGTGTGTGGAAAATTGGTCATTTTAATCTCTTGAAAACTTCTTTGATTTTAACTCTCTATCAGCAGGATATTCCTTCAAAATTTTTAATCTTTATAGTTGACTAGTTTCTCTTCAGAAAAATAAAATAGCGGAGATTTTGAAACACCGCTATGAAGAGACTTGGTTTTGCCTTTTTATTAATAATTATAAATTATATTTATAAATTACTTATAATTTAATAGGAAAAGTAAGAGAATTTAGGAGCAACAAGCACCACGTCAGCTTAACGGTGTAATTAAAAGAAAAAAAATCTTTGTGAAAGTTTAGTTCAAAGGTTAGGGAATCCGGAAATTTTGAAATCAGGGGAAAATCAAGAAAGTCTGTGAAATATAATATTACAAAATTAAGGAAACCTTGTCAAAGCTGTTCCAAAGAAATTTGTGGAGAAAGGAAAGGGGTTGTCCGGCAACATCCATTTGAAACAGCAAGAAAAAGTTTGCTTCTCTTGAATTGCTCCCTGACTCAGATCACAGGATTAAATTGAGCGCAGAGTGTCGTGAAACTCCCCCCTCAAAAAAATGAGTTAAATTCTTCATTTTGAGAAATTTCCAGATTTTCACCAGTCACCATCTGTTTTTATTCATTATAGTAATTTAAAAAATTACATGAGAAAATTCTCAGAAAAGTGTGGGGGTAGAATATTTCGGATCTTTTAAATGTTGCAACATTTCTGTTACATGGAACTCTCAAATACGAAATTCAAGACAAGATAAAAATTAAAGGAAGATTTAAAAAAATCAGCTTTTAGATTGCTCAAGTTCTTTACATGACCAAATATTGAGTTCGTAAAAAGTAAATCGATGTAAATATATTTGCATGGGGAATGAAAAGGAAAAACCACGTCTGACCAGTGACCAAACTCACCATCACCTTATTGTCAAGTAAGCGTTGTTTCATCGTCTGCGTTGCAGTCAACACAGCATTTCTAATGTAGGTATACTCAATGTGTATAGCATGGAATTGCATGATTAACGATCCAAGGGGACTTTCAGACAAATTTTTTTCGGTGATGGGAGAAGGAGGGTGGTTGGGAGGCCCAATAACGGAAACTGAAAAGCACGTGTCAATCAGCTACTTTTGAACTATTTTTCGTCACTAACAGCATCGAAATTGAAGGCAATCACTTCTGAGCCTAGCCATATGAGTGATTGTGCAGCACTTTTTGAGGAATGGAGAAGGAAATAAGTTAGATCAGCACAAAATATGCTCCCAGGTTTTTCTTTCCTCTCTTCTTTTTTTATTTTGCTTCAATAGCAGGTATAAAATGCTATCAAGACAACTTCGATCCTCAACTTTACTAAGGACTCTGATTAGAAATAACCAATTAGGGTTACAAGCAAAGATAATGACCAACTTTGGAAAGGGTCGCAAGCGACTAGCTATGTCGCTGAGGTTGAAATTAGAATTTTCCTTGTGTGCATGTTCTGCTTATCATAGTTTCTTCTATTGCTCTCAACATTTTCCTCTCATCAGGTTGATATTGCCTCTAGGACTCTTCAAAAGTTTGAAAATGTCTAAAAGCAAAAGTTTTTTTTTTTTTTTGCTCATCGTAAAAACCCTTTTCATTCAGTCAATTTTATCCGTTGGGAAAATGTTCAGCTCTTGAGTACAACAAAGTCAAGCCGTATCTATCTAGCTTTTCAAAATTATAACAAAAAACATATGAATGGAGAATTTGCACATACAAATTTTATTGCCTCATCTGAGAGTGCTTAATGAGTTGAGTTCGTAGTATATTTCATAATTTTTTTTCGAACATGGGGAATTGTAGAAAAATTGATTAAAAAAGAGATAATTTGCCGCCTGGTGACGTCATCTGGCGGAATTTTCCATTTAAAGACATCGACGATGAAAGTCGGCAATCACATAACTCGGTTTGCGACGTCGCAGACTTCCTGTCATACTTTATTTTTTAAACGGAAAACTACTCAACGGTAATTCTTTAAAACTGCCGTGATTTTTCTTCTATGTGCGAGGAAAATTCTGCAAAAACTTCAAGGAATCATGTCCATTTGTTCTCCTTCAAAAAAATAACATAGTTGCGAAGATTTTCAGACACCAAACGAGTTATGTGATTGCCGACTTGCACCGTCGACATGTATTTCAGCAGATTAAGTTATTTTGTCATATTTTTTCCAATAATTGTCCAATTTAGAAATCAAAGATTTCCTCGTTTTCAGTTTTCCCAGCAGTATCATTTTAAACATGAAATTCAGAAAATTTCAGACACCTGCAAATTTTCTATTGTTCATTTATGTCAATTATCACACAGTTCTTACCTAAACAAATTTTTTGGAGTTCAATTTTAGACGCTCTTATCTTCAACAATCTCTGTTTGTTATGTTTCAGGATCCAAAAATCAGAAAACATGGACCCAACACCGTCACATATTGATGAAAATCCTGCAATGGGTCCTACATGCGCAGAAGCCATAGCAAACTTGGAGGCAATCATGAACTCAGCTCAAGACTGCTTACGAAAACTTCAATCCGTCTCCTCTGAAACCCCAACAACTGAAGAATCTCCATCAAAGAAGCAGAAATCCTCTAATGAAAGTGTTTCAACTGAATGTGACTCCGGTTTTGGAAGCACTGTTTCAACTTCGAATCTGGGAGAAAATCTCCCAGATTCAAATCAGGAAATGGAAATTTGCGATCAGGAAGCCTTTCTCAAACCTGAAAGAAACACAAACTCTTCCGAGGCCACTGATAATCTTGAACCCTCCTCCACTTCTTTTCCTCATGATGTACCCATGCACTCAACAAATATTCAATCGAATAAAAGTGCTGGAAAGCTAGATGATCCAACCCAACTTATTGCATCTTCAACTCAGACTCCCAGAGAGGAAGCTATCTCAAACTACGTAGAAAGACGTTTTGTCCTTGTGGGTTCACCAATGGATAGAAGTTATGAGGTTCGACCGTACCTCAAACTGAGGAAAAACTTAGCCCATCCACGAAAAACATATCTACTCTCTCAATGTTCTCCTGGTAAATTTTCCCCTCAAAAAAACAGTCCTTCAAGACGCACAAGTATTTTGCAGCCGTTATCGGCATCGCCCTCCACAGCTGATTATTTTGATCGAAAACACTCTGATTGTTCCTCGTCTCCGCGGAGGTTTGCAAGTGATCTTCCCACTTTATTGAAAACGCCGTTTTCAAGTGATCTGTTTAGTAAAAAGTCTGGGCTTGTTGACAATCTCAAGGAAAAGCAGATAGAAGACAGCAGAGATGCAAGTGCATCTAAGAAAGTTAACCCGGGACCTGTTCCATTTGATAAAAGAAAACGGAAACGAAAAACTCCGTTTATCTATTTGAAGAAGTTCACCAAGCCCAAAAAAAACAGCTCAGTCGGAGATATGCTAAGCCCTCCTGAAGAGTACGAGGTAGAATATATTGAGTCCCACAAAATTCTCGAAAATAACGAGTGCATGTTTTTTGTCAAGTGGATCGGATGGGACGCAAGCGATAATACCTGGGAGCCAATCACTAATCTACTCAATTGCCAAGAAAAGCTAGTTGGCTATTTCGAACAACTGCTCAGATCGAATGAGCACAAACAAATATCGCTTCTCCGAAAAAACGCCAACCTAAGAGAATTGAGACAAACCTTATCCCGAACATCCGAAGAAGAACTCAACCAATTGCTATCAACTTACCGCTCTTCACAGGGTATCAAATTGCCTGTCCCAAACAGAGATTTCATAGATAAGGCACTCCTTCTTTTTACCAAACAGCTACCAAAAGAAATGCTAGAACCAATGAAGAAGCGACTTCGCCACGAATTGCTTCTGGAGAAACTCTGTGCCCACCGCAAAGCTCAGCTAGTTTCCCTGCAAGAGTGGGAACTTGAAATCAATTTTCTTGCTCAGAACTCGGCCTTGATCACAGTAGAGAATAATGTAGACTTGGAAGGGCCCCCTCCCAACTTCAACTACATCAACCATTATTTACCCGGTGCTGGGGTTATTATACCCAATGATCCTCCCTTTGGCTGTGATTGTCCTGGCGGATGTACAGTGAGTTCGCAGCTGTGTTGCGGAAAAGAATCCGGCTTTGCTTATGACCAACACGGAAGAATCAAGGTGCCAAGAGGTACTCCTATCTATGAATGCAATAACCGCTGTACGTGCCCTGTCAAGTGCCGAAACCGTGTCATCCAGCGTGGCCAGCACTACCGTTTGTGCATCTTCAAAACTTCTAACGGTTGTGGCTGGGGCGTTAAAGCCTTAGACGATATCAAAAAGGGTTCTTTCATCACAAAATACGTAGGTGAAGTTGTTACCGCAGAAGAGGCGGCTGTCCGCTCGAACACTGATTCGAAATTCTATCTATTCGATTTAGATTTCAATTGCCCTGATAACTCTCCCTGTCCTTTCACAGTAGATGCCTCAGTCTATGGGAATATTTCCCATTTCATCAATCACTCTTGTGATCCAAATTTAGCAATTTATGCCTCGTGGATCAATTGTTTGGATCCTAATCTTCCGTTGCTAGTATTGTTTGCCATCAAAGATATTCGGAAAGGTGAAGAGCTGTGCTTTTCATATTCCCAGACTGACACATCCAGGAGGAGGAAAGGAGAAGTTAAATGTAGGTGCAATACTGCCAATTGTCGGAAGTACGTATTTTAAATGTTAGCAAAATCTCAGAAGAAATCTTTTTGGGTCTTATTTATAATTTTGCAGAAGAGGGTCATTGGAGAGGAGCTGAAGTTTTTTTAATTTTATATTTTATATTTTGTCTGCTCATTCAATGTTTTCCTATGTTCTAGAATTCATTCGTAATTTTTACTGCAGGTTTTTTTTATTTTTATTTTAAACGGATCCGTACAAAATTTTATTCCAGTTGCAATACTGCCAACTATGGTTACATATTTTAAATGTCAGGAAAATTTCAGAATGACTCTTTTTGAGTCTTATTTGTAGACTGGTCTTGGAGAAAAGGTACATTAGAGAGGAGCTAAAATTCTCATTGTATATTTTTTCTCTTGGCTGCTTATGTTTTCGACCTACTAAAATTTATGTGTGACTTTTACTGCAGGTTTTAATATATTTAAATCTACATTTTAAACAAAACTCCAACTCCTCAAAATGCTAAGGAGGTATGATTAAAAATCATACAAGTTGTTCGGAATTTATGAAAATTCGTGAGTTGCCAGCTTACTTGTTAGATATTTTCTCACTCCTGAAGTGCCTTTTCAAACATTTTCAGTGCTTTTGCTGATAATGTGTTCATCATGATGACTCCACCAAGTTCTGACCCGGACATTCAAAATTGCTTGTTCCATAGAACTAATCTTTAAGGTGTTTGCCAGTAAGCAAAACGATGACCAAAGTGCGAAACCACATATCCCTTTGCGACGTTACAGACTTCTCATGATACTTTATTTTCTGTGAAAAAAAAAAAAAAAAAAAAAAAAAAAAAAAACAAGAAGGCAACATAATTTTGTAAAAACTTCATCAATTTTTCTCTACTATTGGCAGAATATTATGTATAGATTTCAATCTATATAGTTAGCTTGTTTCTCTTCAAAAAAATAAAATCTGAGAGAAAATTTTGAAACACCGTAATGGAGATACGTCGTTTTGCATTTCGGCCATTGAAACGTAATGGACCATCAGACTTGGAACAAAATTAAGTACCAAAATTGTTAAAATTTTACGCAAAATACAGTGGATGCATTAGTGTTTTACAAAATCTCATTGTAGTGCTTTTTGTGCATTTAACTCACACTGCTCATAAAAAAAAACCTAAGTATACTCAAGTCAAATCGAAGAATAAACTGATCTTGGTATTGTTAACAGTGGAAGAATATTTCATTGTGCCAATTTTTTTTAAACGAGATTAGAGATGCCTTCCATTAGAGGTAAAAGAAAATGTCTGGGAAAGCAAGCTCCTGTCATTAGCCCAATATGTATAGGTTGTTTTCAATGGCTGATCTGAAAAAAGTTTACCATAGTTTTTTCCAAAAGGCAAGTTTGAATATTCATCCGTTCATGATGTAAACCGCAAGTGTTATTTTCTCTATTTTAAGGTTCTTTTGGAAGTTTTTGATTTAGTTAACTTGTTTTAGAGGAACTTTTGATGAGGCAATATGTTTTTAAGAGGTTAAATTCTTACCCCATCTTGTAGTTAAATGGTGCGATAATTGTCAGTCAAGTTAAAAAGTATCAAGATCTAGGGGAAAAAATTAGTAAAAGATCCAACTTTTGAGAATTTTTCGTCTTTATTGTTATGCGTATCAGAATAACTGGTAAATATTTAACCAATAACCGGTTTATTGTGTAGCACCAAGATTTTTATTTCGTGCTTTCTTATTTTTTTTCCTAATGTTAGGGTCACATTACCACACGACATTCTTTTAGAACAAGTTTCTATTTTAGTTTTTTACTCCCTTGCCGAATTGATTGAATTAATTTCAATAAATTCATTTAATCTGACCTAGAGCCAGTATTCACTGATGTAGATTATTTAGACCATCGTTTGGAGAAATTATTTGAAACTCTCATCTGTCTTGTTCAAAACACAAAATTGCCAATTGTAAAAAAGATTGTGAAAGTTAAGTAGTGACAAAATTCTGAATTGAAGAGCACATAACTCAACCTTCGTTAGCTTCTTTGTGAAAATATTTGCTCCCATCAATCGCCCAAGCGATTCATCTCTTGTTTTGAAACGTTATGAAGGTAAGGGAACGTAAGGATCTTCTTAGTGATCTGTATTTTACTTGTTCTAAATATGTGCTCACATTGAAATTAACTGTTGTACGATGTACTTAAAAATGGTCCTGTTAATCAGTTTGACAAAAAGCAAGATCTGTTGATTAGAAGTCTCGGTGGTCAGTTCCTTTTAGTCATTCCATGTAAAAATTTATCATAAATTGTGTATATCTTGTTTAAAATACTAAATGTGTTTTAAATTTTCAATCAAATAAATTGTTTTCTAGTAAAATATAGTTAGTATGAAGTATTATTTTATTGTAAATAATAAATCAATTGAAAATCAAGTGTCTATAAACACGAGTCAGTGAATTGAACACTGAATCAGTTAATCTGAAACCCATGTAAGGGGCTTGGAGGACTAGACGCATTAGTGCAGTTTTTTCTACTTCGAGAAATACGCGTTTTAAGTGTCAAAATTGCATGGATCCCTCTGGCAGGAAGAAGGTTCAAACTGACTTTTTGATGCTTAACAATTGGTGTTCGGGAGCGAATTTTTCACAGAATATGCATTAAGACTAGTTTTATTTGAAGTCATTAATACCTTAATTTTTTCAAAAACTGCACTTATGCACGTTGTCCTCCAAGCCCCTTATGTGGATTACATTTTTCAAATTACTATTTCTGGCCCATTTAGAAACAGCACACATGCTATTGGTTTCTGCATAGAAACATCTGCATTGCAGATATGTGCTTTTATGGAAGAGCCAGAGAAAGAGGTTCCTTATTGCAAAATGTAGTCCACAAGTAGTTCATAAACTATTTTATATTAATCAGTGAAACTGATACTTGAAGAAAAATGATTATAATAATAAAAAAAACAACAGAGAAACGATTAGTACTTGGTGAGTGATTCCCAAAACAGCTATTTGACTTTACAGTGGATATTCCTGGCGTCGAACATGATGAAATTATAAAATGTATGCAATTAAAGGAAAAAAATTCCTAAGTCTTTAATTGAAAAAATAGTTCTGAACATTTTGCCCTAGCCATATTTGGATCGCGTTTAGCAAAAAGGAACCAGCGCGATTACAGTGTTGTAAAAATGTTGCTTCTCCATAATCATCTAAAAAATTTCCCAGAACAGTAAATTTTTTTTGGTTCCCACCAAATTCTTGGCAGTTTTAAAGAAAAATAACTGTGTACATTTTAATACTGTACATATATTGAGTATTTGTAAGAGAAAAGAAGAAGTTGCACAATTTTAAAAACACTGTAATCGCGCTGGGTCCTTTTTGCTATATGCGATCCATCTAATGATTGAGAAAACTCAATGCCATGAACGGACACCATAGACAGGAGGTGAGGACAGTGAAATGAGAGCAAGGAGGCGGTATTCGAAATGGAAAGATTTAAATAATATATAATGATAAATAAAAAAACAAAATTAAATTTGAAACAAATTAATTTAATTTAAAATCAGCAAAAAAGGTACCAAACCAACATTACCTTGGAATAATTCTGAGATAAAATGAATTACTCAAGTGAATAAATAAAATAAAGTCACAAGAACTACCTTAGGAGGGTTCAAAGAGGCTAAATTGATACCTATACTCAAATGGTGGGTTGGGTCAGGAAACTTAGTGATTGAATGACAGTGTAAAAAGTAGAACTTGAGCATTAAAAATTGGCTTAGTATGAAAAAAAGAAACAAAAACTTATTCCACCTTAAAATAAGGAAGAAATAGTTGTTCTCCATACACGAGAGATGATGTGATGGAAGTTGACCTTCGGCAATTTAACCTACAGTCATCTGGAGTAGCATCTGTAAAGAATGAAAACAGAGAACACTTAGGGTATAAAAAGGACTACAAATGAGCTTTGTAAAAAGGACTGTAAACCTTATGAAAAGGACTGTAAACATTACTAAAATGGGTCAGATGTGCTGGTTACAGAATCATGTTTTGACGCTCGCTTTTTGTAGATTAGCTAAAGATTCTAAAGGAAATTCCGCAAGAAGGTCCGGAATATTCGTCATTTTTGTCGCAATTTAAGAGAGAAATTCAAATTTTTGAAATTTTTCTTTTTTCTTCAAATGCAGGTACTGAAAAATTACTGTATTGTTGGGTTATTGAGGAACTGAATTTCTTGGGAATGTATTGAAAAAGTACCGTAAAAGTACTGATTTTTGGCTGGTCTGTTTTGGTAGACACCCTAGTAGAGTAGATAAGTACTTAGTAGACTAGGAAGCAAGAAAAATTTAATGGCATTATTTCAAATTTCAATGGTCTCCAGACTATCTTTGTTGATGGATCATTCACTTTTTCATGCAATATCTTTTCCTGACCGTACAGTTGATATGAAACTAAGTATTTGTGACTGGCATTTACCCATTCTTTAAGTTTCTTCTTTTCGGTGGACTGCAATATCAGGTAATGGTTCCAATCTATCTCCATACTTTTGTTTTAGTTCATTTTCCAAGGAGGCCCAGGGGTTCCCAAACATGGATCGATAAGATTCTGAGTCTTCCCAATCTTCGGAGTCATAGTTCTGTAAGAGAGTAAGAAAAATATTCACACTTATCGCCTTGGATTTCAAAAATTTGCTGAAGATAAAGAACTAGAAGAGAAGAGGATTGCACAGATGAAGAGGGTAAGAACCTGGTGTTACACTTTATTGTTTTCATTAGGAACACAAAGAAATTGTTTCTTGGACGAAGGAAAATAGCTCCATTCCAAAGTTGTAAGATTGACTCAAACAGAGCAATATTTTGCAGGAGTATACCTGTTCGATTTTTGTCCAAAATTTGTCAGCTCTTTCCATGAGATCACAAGGAAAATCAATGAAGTTTTCAGTTCAAATTGCCTACGATTCTCTGGGTAAAAATGCTATTTGGGAGAGGAAATCTAGAAACACTGATCGGCGGTTACATTCCACTGGGTGGAAACGACAAATACAGCATTTCCTAGGTTAATGTTCTTCCGTCTTTGTCGACAAAAATATTTTCCTCTTCGGGAAAAAGCAGTTTCAGTTACTTGAAGTCAGCCTGCCCATTGAATGATTTTTAGTCTCGATGGTCAAAGAGTTCTTAGAGTGCGCTTATTTTAACTCAAAAAGTTCAAAGGGAAGATTGCGCTATGGTCAAAAGGGAAGTTCCCAAACATTTGATTGGGGTATTTACTGAATATTAAGGTTCTTTCTCAATCATGAGTTTGCCTTGATTCTGATTTTTTCACAAGTGGGATGTTGGACTTGATTTGGACGAAAACAGTACTTATTTTTTGGTCAATTATTCTATTTATTAGTTTATATTTTGCATCAGCACCCTGGTCTAAAAAATAGGTGCACTGACCAAGATATGTGCAGCTATGATATTTCTAAACAGAAGACTAAGACATAAAAAAATTGCGTGGACACAATGGTAATGAAACCCATCTTCAGTAAAATAATTAGGAGATAGGAGTTATTAAGTGTTGATACATGATGCATTCCTGCACATCTGGGGAGTTATTGTAAAAATTGATGCCAGGGACATGTTTTGGTAGCATTTGTTAAATTAAGGAGGTCGTAACTTGTAAATTGACGAATCTATCCTCATCAAGTCTGATGATTAACTATCACTTGACACCATCATCAACTTGTTGAAAGGAAATAAGTTATCTGACAGTCCTTTACAAAAAGAGATGGACAACATTTTCTAGGAGGGAATACCTGGCGATTTTGTGTCTGACGTAACTCTTACCTGTGAAGATGGGGTGTAGTTCTGGGAGCTGTTGAAACTGCTATTCATGCTACTAAAACTGCTATTACGACTAGAGTTGAAACTAGTGTTAGGAGAACTAAAACTGTTTCGGCTTCGATTCGATCTGAACTTCCCCCGGTTCATATATGGAGTTTTGTTAAAGTGCCTGAAGGAATGATTTCGGTTATCAGCTGGACTAGAGCTACTGAACGATATGAAATCTGAACTATCAGCATTTGTTTTACGAGGTGTGTAAGGTGATAAATTATTTCCAGGTGATCTCATTCGTGGATTAAAATGAAAAGATTGAGGTAGGTTCCTTAAGCTAGAGGTATCGTTGGGTTTGGGCGAGTTATTGTCACTCATGATGCTGCTGTGAACAAAGAGAATTAAGGATGACTTATGAACTGTCACAGTCACTGATACATGTTGCTCAAAATTCACAAACTTCCACAAAAATACACTTTTTTTAATAATTAGAAGGCGTAAAGGGGAGAGAGAACTGGGGCTGTAAATAAATGGTTAAAAAATGAGGTTATGAGAACATAAACAAATCAAGGAACAAAACAAAAAGCGCAAAAACATGAGGACAACCACTGATAATTGCACCAAAAAATTTTAATAAGTTCATTCAATTTTTTCGGGTAATTATGCAGAATTTTTCTGAAATAATATAATTTTTCGAATAACACCTGTGAAAATACTGATCACCAATCATGAAAAAATCATAAATTTGATACTAAATAGAATCTTCCACGAGCGAAGCAGGGAAGTTTTGTTTTGAAACGCTACACAACATGCGAAGGTTCCTTGAAGAACTCTCATTGGCTATTATAATTCTTTGCAGCCAATCAGAGACTTTATCTCGATCCTTTGCCTTGATAAAAAATGTAAACAAAAAAGTACAGTGCTATCTACATTTTTTATCGTTGAAATTTAAGTTTCCGTTCATTAATTTGGGCTCATACCGTTTAAAATTGTCGAAAGCTCCCGTAAGAATCCCACCTCCATAATTTGTGAATATCTATGGTTGTTCCAGTCATCTTGATGCCGGGCGCGCTTGTCAAATTCTGAGAACCCCTTGCGCCATTCAGCTCGGTCTCCGTGCATTCCACCATCGGCCTGTGATCGCGGCATGTTTACGGGAGAAGTTAGTTACATAACCAGCGAAGCTCCGAGTGCATCTCCTGCAGTGGTTTCGAGGACGGTGATTCGAAGGAACGGCGAATTATATCGTGAATGATAGTTAAAATGTGTTAGCTTAATGTGTTATTCTTGTGGTTTCCGTGTGATACGTGTTTTTTAATTGTTAATCGCAACGTCCGAAATGGGTTTAAAAGAAGAACAGAAACCGCTCCTGGTGAACCAAGGCACCAAAAATTCTCAAACCTACAGCAGCACCAATTACTCTGTAAGTAGCGATATTTATCTTATTAGAATGAAGTCAGTCTTGCGGAAGAGTGACCATATAATCCTTCAGGACATCCTCATGATATCACCTGCTAGATATCCACACTATTCGCCTCATTTCCAGGAACCTTATCCCTTGGTCCTGCTGAGGCTGTTATGTAACCATTTCGTGGAGCTTTATCATTTTGGTCTCGATTTCTTTCTGCCCAAGTGATAAAACGATAATGCAGTGAATGCTCGTTTCACCTTGATTATTAAGTTTCAGCAGTTGATGCTGAATGAATTTAATTATTTTGTGCTGTCCTAATTTAGGGCATTATGCTTGCATGCCATCCACCTTTTTTACCACATGGCACACTGCATTTGCTGGTTCACACCTTGACCTCATGTCTTCATTGTCAAGAGATTCATCCTCTCATCGTGCCCTCCTAATTTTACTACCTTAATCTTTTGTCTCCTCTTCAATGTATATTCAATGAGATTTTGATGCATTTCTCTGACTGAATTCCTTGGAATATGGTATGCCAATTATGCCATGGGTACGATGGCAGTTTTTTCCAGTGATGTGTGGATATATTATGTAATGAGATAATTTCTAAAAATATTGATTTTTTCTCCAAATTTGTAAACCTGTCCATATATGTAAGAATTTTTGGCACTGAAGTTCTGAGGAGATGTACCTACTCTCATAATCAGCGAGTTGACTTCAACAACAATGATAGTGAACTTTTTGGTTTAACTTCATGGAGCACCCACCTTGCTAAGTTAATCAAGTTTTTTGATAACTTAAGAAAATTGTCTATGGCTTTTAGAATGATACTTAATAAGCATCTAAATACAGAGTGACTCAGGTTGGGTGCCCAGATTTCTAGAGTCAATTTTGGAAATAAGACTTTTTGTAGTGCGACATTTTTTTTTGTGCTTCCCAAGAGTGGCACAATCTGGAGAGTTTGAAGGAATAAATCAGCAGCTCGAAGTATTTTATGATCTCTTAACAGTTTTGATTTCTGAAGAAGATTACATTTTTTTGAGGGGTGGGGGGGGGGCAGTATGTAGTCAATGATTGTTCATCATAAGCATGCCCTCCTAAAGTCTACCCCTCTTTTTTACTCAAAAAAGCAGCCTGACAAATTGTATCATGTAATTTAAGCCCTCAACAAGCCAAAGGCTACAAAACTTCGTTTTTTAATTTTTGAGGGCTGCAGCTGCCAAGGGAAGGAGGATTAGAATCTTCAGAAAAATATAAATTTTAAAGACACCC